GGGAACTAGGTCGTGCTTGAGGGTTTGGTGAGAAAGTACGATACGACCGAGTGTAGTAGCGCTGCCAGGACGGCAGCTTTCTCGCTCAATATGCGCAGCGGCGCTCAGTGTAGTAGATAGTCTCAGTCTCTCTCAGAGGAGGCGGCAGCGATGTGGAGACACCGCAGCGCAATCTACCCAGCGGGCAGTGAAAAATCTTCCCAGTGAAAAACCTTCTCGCTAATGTCCGCAACGCATTGGCTGGGGTGGATGTTTCAATTTGGACGGGATTTCCGGCCCACACCGCGCGTTGAGTGTGGCGCCGCGGCCTGGAAGTCTAAAGACGAGCCCTTCTTGATAGGGTCAATAGGCCTGCTGCATTCTACTACGGGAAGAGCGCGAGCGGGCAAGGGTGAGAAAGGTTACGTGGATCGTCCACGATAATCGACAGGGAATGCTGGTAGCTTCCCACACAAGTGAATGCAAAGAACCCATGTTTATTCACCTCTCAACGTTACATTCGGTGCAGCATCCTGTTACCAAGCTCCGATAGCTCCTCCCCCGTGACCAGAGATTCCCCGTCCCCCATCCAGATACCCACCCACACTCAAATCTTCCTACCAAACCAAACGACCAATCACATTTGTAACCCATAAATTTAGAGTGAATCCCAGGAGTCCTTGATTCAGATTCGCGATCTGGACCTTCAGCGGATTGTGAGTGAGCAAAGAACACGAGCATCTAGCAGTCCTCCTTGCAGTCTTCGTACTTCTCCTCGCAGTTGCTCTTCTTCTTGGAGTAGCACTTGCGCTTGTAATATTTGCACCAGTCCTTGCAGCCCCACTTGCCGTACTTGCACGACTTGTAGCTCCTGTACGCCTTCGCTTCGCAAGTCTTGGACTTCTTTTCGCACACCTTTTCGTCGTCTTCGTCTTCCGCCTTATCCTCGCATTTCTTCTCGTTCTTCTCGCACTGCGCATACCGCTTCTTGTACTTGTCCAGGCACGACGGCTCGTCGTCGTCGTCGTCGTCGTCGTGGAGAATGCGCCTATCGCTCTCCAGAGCAGGGAGAAGCTCTGCAACCAAAGATAAGGAGGCTTGTTAGAATACATAGAAATACAAAACATGGACGGATCATGAAGTCGATTTTCCCACGGATGGACACAGTGCGTAACCATGAACAGATTTTTCTACCCCTGCATTTTCTGCACGCCAAAGCGTCGGTAGGTTACATTGTACCGCATACTTCGGCGAGAGATGCTTACCAGCGACAGCAGGAGCGGTATCGGGCGCGGAAACTGCGTTCGCCTCCGCAACAGGCGCCGAGGTTACGGCGAGCAGTAGTGCGGATAGCAGAACCAACCCGGAGAGGAACGCGAAAGTCCTCATGCTGGCAAACGCCGAAAGCTGACACAACTGACGGGGCACAGGCGATGGCCGAATTCTCGATGACTAATGAAAAGCTGGTCGAATGTGTGACTTTTGGAGAGTTGCTGCTGATTTAAAGGCAATCGGGGGCAGATTTTTCTAGTTGTATGGTGGGATGGGGTGATTCTGGTGAAGGGGGGAGATTCGCGAAGGGGGAGGTTCGGTAGGGGCTAATTGTGGTGTTGGCAAGATTTGAGGCAAATTCGATGAAGCGATTGCGTGGCGACACATGCGGCAGCCTGGTGGCGGTTCGGATGATCTCTCACGTTCGGTAAAGAGACCTGGACTTGTGACCCATAACTTCTAGGCTCGTGTGTAGCTTCGGCCACAATAGGTGTATCTGCTCTGAAATTCTATCAGCTTCTCTCCTCCCCAACCTCCCACCAAACCTGGGCTTGAAAAAGCTCGGGATCAAAGCTGGCCGCTTTGTTCAAAAGACGGCGCGCGTCACTGGCTGAAAGTGGCTTTGGCTTGGCAGACCCATGGATGGAATTGAAGTACAGTAAAAAGTCAATGGGGGGGGAGGCTTCTCTGTTGACGGCGGAAGGTTAGCGGCTCGGCTTGCAGGTGCGATATACTCATCTTCGATACTGCCTTTCTCATATTTAAAAGTAGAAAGGGAAGCAAAATGTTCCAATGGCCACTTACAACAAACTGTCTGATTACGTTATCCTCCTCGTTCAAACTCACAAAACAGTCACATTTCTATTCGACTGATAGTGTTGTGTACAACATGCAAGCCATCACACCAATGCAACAACTAGATTATGCCCAATCAAACAAATTTTTTATTACCACTCACCACATCACATCCAAATGCTCATCCTGTCATCACACAGCTACAACCAGCAATAGAAGGCCCTCCAAAGAAGTCATACATGTTCTATTCAGCAATCGTTCTTGCAGCGCTTGTACTTGTAGTCACACTCGTCATCGTGGTCGTCCCTGCACTGCTTCTTGACGTACTTGCACCAGTCGTTGCAGCTAGACGACGGCTTCTTGTCGCCGTATTTGCAAGTTTTGAATTTCTTGTACGCCTTCGCCTCGCACCTGTCAGTCTTCCGCGTGCACTCGTAGCTGTCGTACGACGAGTCGCTATGGTCGCAGCACTTATGATCCCTCCTGCAATTCGACTGACTTTTCTTGAATTTGCCCAGGCACGACGAGTCGTCACGGCTCAGAACACGCCTGTTCCCCAAAGAAGGGACACGTTCTGCACGCGAAGACACGACGTTATTCGTGACTTGGCAGAAAAAGTGTGTAAGCATTGCTTGCAAAGGAGCCTCGCTGAATAGTAAGGACTTTATTTCCCCAAAGAGGGTCTATGTAAACTTACCAGCTGGTATAGCGTCAACAGCGAGGAGCAGAACGGAGAGCAGGACAAGCCCGCAGAGGAGGGCGGAAGTCTTCATACTGCCTGCAGGCGAGAACTCTCAGACTGTTCTATGGTCACTGGTGATCAACTAGTAGTGGTATTTCCTGTTAATGAATAAGTTGGCCTGGAATTTATTTCGTACCGAAATGCTGCTGCTGGGGGCTGAAATCCGTGGGAGGAAATGCGGAAACGGGAACGCCCGCTTTTTTACGGCCAGCTTTGGTTAGCGGCTCGTTTGGACATTCTAGTTCCGTTTTCGGGCAAGGTTCTGGCTTGGGAGCTCCGCCGCTTGGGCCGATTGGTCTGAAGTGCAGCTTCCCCGGCCTGGCCCCTACCAAGCGATGAGACAACCTGGAAGACTGGTTCGGAAGGTCTGTGATGCCATAGGAACCAGGTTAGGGGTTGTGGTCAGACATTGTATGATCTGGAAGGGGGTCAAAAGGGGTTGTTGGGATTGAAGGGAACAAGAGCAAGATGACAACTTGAGGTGGAATTGTTGCACTCGACATGAGAGGGCACCTGACAAGACATGCAATCAGGGTGATATCATAATATTTCAAGCGTGGTAGAGGAGAAGGTTCGTGTTGATACACCCATGATTCCGCCTGTGAAGGGGAAATCTATCTACACCGAACATTTGGACACTCATCAACTCGTGCCCGCAAATGTTTTCCCTGCAAAAAGCTGTGAAACTGTATTTAGCGCCATATCGCTTTGGAGGTCGAACCTCGAGGTCAGCTCAGACACTTGACGGTACTTGACCAGCATTGTGTGGTCAGGAGAATTTCGAAAGGACAGAAGTAACACAGAGGCCAGAACCAGACTCGACTTTCGCACCACTCCGTACACCCGATTATCTGTCAAGCTTACTTCAATGTAACAAGAAGGCAGTCCGAAATTAGCTTACACCTCCTACTCTCAATTATATTTTGAATCACATGGTGCCCCATATTTTACTTCACTATCACATTGGTAGGTCGTGCTATGCGGCTCCAAAAGCTATCTGCTCAACGAAATTGTTCACATTCCTGAAACCTTTCATATTATGTTTGTAAACCAGCAGACCTACAACCCTCTTTTAAGGAAGATTCCTTTTCCTTACTTCGCATCCCTGCTCAACGCGTACATCACTGTACCGTAGCACCACAGTCAGAACCGTTACCACTCGCAACCCTCACATCGACAACCTGCCCGCCACCTTCGCACTTCGCATCCCTGCTCAACGCGTACATCACTGTAGCACCACAGTTAGAACCGTTACCATTCACTACCCTCACATCGACAATCCGCCCGCCACCTTCGCACTTCGCCCTCACCTGCGGACCCGTTGCCCTCAGTTGCGGACCCGCCGCCCTCAGTTGCGGCCCCGTCGCCGCCCTCAGTGCGGCCCTGTCGCCGCCTTCAGCTGCGGCCCGTCGCAGCCCTCACCTGCGGCCCCGCCGCCCTCAACTGCTGCAGCGCCGCCCGCCGCCCGAGCCGCCTCACCCAGCCGAGCCGCCGACCACCGCGCCGCCCTGCAACAGCACAACCGAGCCGCCCAGCAGCAGAGCAGCTGAGCCGCCGAGCTGCGGGGTCGCCCAGCCGCCGTGCAGCCGAGCCGCCCAGCAGTCGAGCCGCCGAGCCGCCCAGCAGCCGAGCCGCCGAGCAGCCCTTCCGCCGAGCCGCCCGAGAAGCCCTGTCCGGTGAGCAATGCACCTCTGTCGCTGCACTGCTGCTTGCACTGCTGGTCTACTGTTGTCATGGCTACCCTTAGTGTCCTCGCTTTTGACGCTGAGGGTCGAGCCATTGAATTTGACGTCTGGGTCGACCACCTGCAGCTGTTCTTTACAGTGCGATAGCGCAGACGGTCTCTCTCTCTTTGACCTCACCTCTGGCGCCTCTCATGCCCGTGCTGCTGATGCTGACGCCACTGTACGCTCTTAGTGGGCCACGCGCGACGCTGCTGCACGTCTTGCTGTGCGTCGCCACCTGCTTACCACTGAGCGCGCGCACTTTAGTCAGTACAAGAGTGCTCAGACCTTGTACAACGCTGTAGTTGCGCGCTACTCTTCCCCTGCCACTTCTGCTCTGAGCCGCCTCATGCTACCGTTCCTCTTCCCTGACCTTGCTGCCTTTCCCACAGTCGCTGAACTCATTACGCACCTCCGCACTAGTGACACTCGCTACCGCGCCGCACTTCCTGCTGAGTTCTACGCCAAGAACCCCCCCCCCCCCCCCCATGAACATCACTCTCTATTATATAGTCACCCGCCTCCCTGACTCCCTTCGTGTAGTCAGGGACCACTTCCTCTCAGTCTGTCCCACCACTCTCACTGTTGAACTCCTAGAGAAGGCCCTCCTAGCAGAGGAGAAGAGCATAGTCTCTGTAGGAGCCTGTCGTGGTGAACCTCGCACCCCCATCTTTGAGGGGTGTTCCCTTTCCCCCCTTTTGCCCTCTGTCGCCTCTGCTGCTGCGGCCGACCTCGTTGGTCTTGAGTCGGTCGGTGCGGCGTCTGCCCCTAGCGGGAGACGCCGCTCTGGCAAGGGCAAGGGGGGCAAGGGCGCGGGTGGAGCTAGCGGGGGTGGTGGAGGTGGCGGTGGAGGCGGCGGAGGAAGTGGGGGTGGAGGTGGGAGTGGTGGCGGGGGTGGAGGTGTCGGTGGCAGCAGTGGAGGCGGAGGCGGCAGAGGCGGTAGCGGTGGGAGCGGAGGCGGCGGTGGTGGCGGAGGTGGAGGAGGCGGTGGTGGAGGAGGTGGAGCTGGTCGGGGTGGCGCTTCGCAGCGGAGCGGCTCCGGTGGTGGTCAGCGCTGACAACAGCAGCGTTCTCGGGACATCCCCCCCCCTCTGCAGCTCCGTGAGTGGTACGCGCAGCGTCAGCGTGGTGGGGGTTTTGGTCCGTGCACCTACGTCTTTCGCACCGGCGACCGCGCAGGTGAGCAGTGTGGGGGTGCCCACCCCACCCAACGCTGCTTTGGCCGCCTGACGGACGCTTGGCGTCAGCACTTCCCGGCGGCTACTGAGATCCCCCGCTGGGGAGAGCTGTCTAGGGCAAGTGTAGCCATCTATGATCTTGACTTTGATGCTATCCTTGCTGCCATGTATGCTGTGACTATTAGTGATGAGGGTGACTGTTACCGGTGTTTCCCGCCCGACCCGGGCATCGCGACTGTTGCTCTACGTGTTAGTGAGGCTGCTGCTCTAGGTGCCAGTGCGTCTGCGTCCTCAGGTGCTGGTGAGTCTGCGCTCTCAGGTACCGCGTCGGCTTCGGCCTCTCTCACCTTCACACTTGACTCCGGGGCTTCTCGCTCCTTCTTTCGAGACCGCACCACACTCACGCCGCTTGGTCGGCCGGTTGCAGTCTCCCTGGCAGACCCCTCTAGGGGCCCTGTCCTCTCTCACTTCTCTACTGTCCTCCCGTGTCCGGCTGCCCCCTCTGGCACCTTGTCTGGTCTTTACCTCCCCTTGTTCTCTACGAACTTGGTGAGTGGTGCTGACCTACAGGATGCGGGGGTTCACCAGTTTACTCTTGCGAGTCAGCGGGTGACCCACTGCTCGGACGCTCGCACAGGCAGGCACCTGGCCACGTTTACGCGTCGGCCGGGGTCGAGCCTCTACACCCTGACCACTGAGTCTCCTCCTGTCCCTGCGTCTGGCCAGGTAGCTGCGTCGGGTCAGGTGTTTGCTGCAGCGTCCAGGTCTGGTCCTGAGTCTGCCCCCTGCTCGTGTCGCCTCCTCTCTCATAAGACTCTCCTGTGGCACCACCGTCTTGGTCACCCCTCCCTGCCTCGTCTCCGAGGCATGGCTTCCCGTGTCCTTGTCTCTGGTCTTCCCCGGTCCCTCCCTCCCCTTCCTCCGGGGCCTGGTCCTTCCTGCGTCCCCTGTGTCGAGGGGCGGCTCCGGGCTGCCCCTCACTCCTCTCAGTTTCCCCCGACAGAGGCCCCGCTGCAGACGCTTCACATGGACGTGTGGGGCCCGGCCCGCGTCCGTGGACAGGGTCACGAGCGCTACTTCCTGCTGGTGGTTGACGACTACTCGCGTTACACCACAGTCTTCCCCTTGCGCAGCAAGGACGATGTCACTGAGGTGTTGATCGACTGGATCCGCGCAGCTCGTCTCCAGCTCAGGAGGAGCTTCGGCTCGGACTTTCCTATTCTGCGTCTGCACTCTGACCGAGCGGAGAGTTCTCTGGCATTCTGCGAGCCTACTGCCGTGCGTGAGGCATCCGCCAGACCTTTACGCTTCCGGAATCTGCACAGCAAAATGGGATTGCTGAGCGCCGCATTGGCATGGTCAAGGACGACGCTCGTATGTCCATGTTGCATGCGGCTGCCCCCCATTTTCTATGGCCGTTTGCGGTTCGGTACGCCGCGCATCAGATCAACCTTCACCCCAGGGTCTCCATGCCGGAGACCTCCCCAGCTTTGCTGTGGACGGGGAAGGTAGGCGATGCGTTTCCGTTCCGTGTCTGGGGATCTCGGGCGTTTGTCTGCAACTTGTCTGCGGACAAGCTGTCCCCTCGTGCTGCTCCCTGTGTCTTCCTTGGCTCCCCCCCTGACGCACCACGGTGGCAGTTCTACCACCCCTCCTCTCGTCGTGTTCTGTCCTCCCAGGACGTCACGTTCGACGAGTCAGTCCCCTTCTACCGCCTCTTCCCCTACCGCACTCCTTCCCTCCCCCCTCCTCCGCTCTTCCTTGTGCCAGGTCCCCCCCGGTAGACCCCCTCCCCCCTCAGGGTCATGCCCCTTCAGGTGTGTCCCAGGTAGACGCAGTCGAGCCGGTCGAGGTTGCTGGTGACTCTGGTACTGCTGCGGGTGCTGAGCCTGGGGGTGCTAAGACTGGGGGTGCTGAGCTTGGGGGTCCTTTGCCTGGCGGTGCTGAGCCTGGGGGTGCTACGTCAGGAGCCGCTGAGCCTGGGGGTGCCACGTCTGGAGCTGCTGAGCCTGGGGGTGCGGAGCCAGCGGTCGCTGGACCTGCTAATGTGGCGTTTGGCGGTGCAGGGCCTGGAGGTTCTCCGGGTGCTTCGTCTCGGCGAGGAACACTCTCTCCACAGGAGCTGCGCGAGTGGTTTGCCCGGCGCTGGAGGCGTACTGCTGGAGCTGGTGCTTTTTCGGCTGCTGAGGGTGCTGGTGCCGCCGGTCTCGGAGGTGCTCGTCCTGGGAGTGCTGGAGCTGCTGGGCCTGGGAGTGTCGGAGCTGCTGAGGGTGTTGGCGCTGAGGCTACTGCTGTCAGTCCTGGCGGCGGTCCTGCTGCGGGTGCTGCTGGTGCTGTTGGAGGTACTGGAGCTGGAGGTGCTGTTGGCGCTGGTGCTGCCGCTGGGGGTGCTGGTCCTGTCCCTGCTGTGTCTCGAGTCGCCGCGTGGCTTCGGCCGTAGTTTGTTCCGCTCCTTCATCAAGTTCTTGGTCATCCTCCTCCCTTAGAGTGTCCACCGCCTGTCCAGTTACAGTCACAGTTACCGCCTGCCTCCCCAATGCCTGCTCCTTCTCCGTACGCTGGTCCTACTGGAGGTGTTGCTAAGCGTCGTGAGCCTGCGTCTCGTCCTGCGTCGCCTGTTCGTGCTGCTCGCACTAGTGGTCGCGGTTCCCGTCAGCGTCCTCCTCCTGTCCCTGGCACGCACCGGATGTCTCTGCGTCCGTCCACTGCTCCTCTGCATGTCCCTTTGCCTTCTCCTCCTGCGTCCTCTCTTCCTGCTCTTGCCGACCCGGAGTCGGACTCTCTTCGTGCTGCCAGTCCTACTATCACGCGTCTCCTTGCTACTGTCGTCACTGACCCTTCCTTTGAGTCCACTGCTGCGTCTGCTCTTGTTGCTGAGCTCGTCAACTTTGCTGCTCGCTCTCGTCTAGACTACGCTGCTAGTCTTGTTGCTGAGTCTTCGTCTGTCTGTCCTCCTTCCGTCGGGGGTGAGTGTGCTCTTGGCACGGACGTCCTTGAGGATAGGCAGGAGGAGTTCCAGTGTCTGGCTGCTTCTTCACCTCATCTCGTGTCCGTACTGCTTACCCCTGAGGGAGACCCGGATGCACTTGACATCCCGACTCCGCGCTCTTACGCGGAGGCCGTAGAGGGTCCCTACTCCTCTCAGTGGCAGGCAGCTATGGATGCAGAGATGGCTTCCTAGAAGTCCACAGGCACCTACGTTGACGCGATTCCCCCATCTGGGGCGAACATCGTCAGTGGCATGTGGATCTTCAGGGTGAAGCGGCCGCCAGGTTCTCCACCTGTCTTCAAGGCGCGGTACGTGGCTCGTGGCTTCAGTCAGCGGCAGGGAGTTGACTACTTTCAGACCTTCTCTCCCACCGCGAAGATGACCACTCTTCGGGTGCTGCTGCACATAGCCGCTCAGCGCGACTACGAGCTTCACTCGCTTGACTTCAGCATTGCTTTCTTGCAGGGTAGCCTGTACGAGGAGATCTGGCTGCGCCGTCCTGCTGGCTTCACTGGGACTTTTCCTCCTGGCACCCAGTGGAGCCTCCGACGGCCAGTCTACGGTCTCCACCAGGCGCCCCGTGAGTGGCACAACACACTGAGGACTACACTTGCGGCTCTTGGGTTTGCTCCCTCTACTGCCGACCCGTCGCTGTTTCTACGCACCGACACCTCTTTGCCGCCGTTCTACATCCTCGTGTACGTCGACGACTTGGTCTTTGCCACTACTGACACTGCTGGACTCGCCCACGTGAAGTTCGAGCTGCAGAAGAGACACACGTGCACAGACCTGGGTGAACTGCGCAGCTACCTTGGCTTGCAGATCACCCGGGACAGAGCACGCCGCACCATTACCTTGACTCAGTCACACATGGTGCAGCAGGTCCTTCAGCGCTTCGGCTTCACGTACTCCTCGCCTCAGGCCACTCCTCTGCCTACTCGCCACTCGCTCTCAGCTCTGCCTTCGGATGAGTCCGTAGAGTCGAGTGGCCCGTACCCAGAGCTTGTTGGCTGCCTCATGTACCTGATGACTTGCACACGACCTGACCTTGCATACCCTCTTAGCATTCTTGCACGCTATGTTGCTCTTGGGAGACACAGACCAGAGCACATGGCTGCAGCGAAGAGGGTGTTGCGCTACTTGTGCAGTACGTCAGGCATGGGGCTAGTGCTTGGAGGGCAGAGTCCGGTGGTCCTCACTGGGCACGCAGACACTTCTTGGGCTGACGACCAGGCTACGCAGCGGACGTCACAGGGTTACACCTTCAGCCTTGGTTCCGGCTCTGTTTCGTGGCGGGCTACTCGCTCGTCTTCTGTTCTCGGCTCCAGTTGTGAGGCTGAGATCTACGCCGGAGCCATGGCTGCTTAGGAGCTACGCTGGCTCACCTACTTGCTGACTGACCTCGGAGAGCCGCCTCGTTCTCCTCCAGTGCTGTACGTAGACAACAAGGCCATGCTGGCCTTGTGTCGGGAGCAGCGCCTGGAGCACAGAACGAAGCACATTTCTCTCCGCTACTTTCTTGCTCGTGAGCTGCAGCAGCGTGGTGAGTTGCGACTTGCGTATGTGGCCTCTGAGGCCAACACTGCTGATATCTTCACTAAGGCTCTTGCGCCTTGTGATCATCAGCGCTTCTGTACTCAGCTTGGTCTTGTGCGTGTCTTGCCTCACTTGCTCACTTCTTGACCTTGCTTGTACTGTCACATACTCCTGCTCTTGCTTGTTTAGCCTTTTATATATATATGTGTGCTCCTGCATGTGAACTGGCTGTCTGGCCTTGAACTTGTGCTCGGAATGTGTGGTGACTTTGTGATCCACCCTGAGCTTTGCTTTGCTTTGCTTGACTGGTCTTGTGACCCCTTGTTCTCCCCCACTTTGCCAATGGGGGTGTGTCAGATTTGTATGACATAGCTGTTGTAGGCTATAGTGGGGTAGTACATATGGGGTACAGCTTTCTAGGGTTGTATTTGTACCCAACTTTCACTTAGTCATTTTCATTCTCGTTCTAACTTTCTCACGCTGAGCTTGCTCGACACCCCTGCCATGGCCGAATTCACGCTCGCCACATTGACGCAAGAGCAGCTTTACCGTCTGGTGCGCCAACTTGAAGATTCGGCGCTCGAAATTGCGACGCTCACGGCGGAACGTGACCCCGCGCGTCAGCAATCCACGGTGAACATTCTAGCGCCACCACACGTACCGACAAATGCATCTGCACAATCGGACGAGCCGATCGTCATTTTGTCCGGCACACCAACACAACACGTCAGCGTGGGACAGCGCTTAGGAGCAGCCAGTGATGGCGCCGCCCAGCCGATGCCTGGCATGGGAGGAAACAGGGTCGGACCAAGTTCGCGTAAGCCTCGTGAAGCCCGTCGGCACATGGAGTTCGTGGCGACAAATGGCGACCAGGCCATTATGGCACCTATGCCACTCAAGCCGCAACGCCCGCCCTGCTTCGACCCAAGCCAACGTAGAGGTCCGACGGTTCAATCGTGGGTCTTCACGATGAATGTCTTCTTCGATGCGAATTACGTCGAGTCGGACGCAGCGAAGATTCGGTATGCCGTTTCGCTGTTGAGGGGCCCCGCCATGGACTGGTGGCGAGTCATCGTGACGTAGCCACGCGCCTACAAGCCACCGTCGCAAGAGGAAGGGCCCAGGTGTCACCTCGAGTTCATTCTGCGAGACCGCCCAATAAAGCACGTGGGATGCGTAGTGCGCAGGGCTTCGGGCGTGCTTTGAGCCGATCACGGCTTCGATTTTAGCGCGTCAGAGATTGCGCACTCGGCGGCAGCTTGGATCGGTTCAAGACTATACGAGTGGTTTTGTCGCATTATGCGGCAAGTTGGCTACATGCACGAAGCAGAGCGGGTGGACCGTTATGTCGGGGGGCTGAAGCCGGATATATCGCATGAAATCATGCTACGCGGGCTCTCGAACTTCAACGAGATTCTCGCGCTCGCCGAGAAAATCGACATTTTACGCCGTCCGAGACCGGGGTCCTACTATGGACATCCTCCTAGGGGACCGATTGAGCACGCCAGTGTACAGGCTGTTGCGACGAATGCAGCTGTCGCGCCGTTTAAGGGGCGCTGCGTTGCTTGCAACAGGTCGGGCCACCACAAGAGCGAATGCCCACAGGAGCTAAGGCGCCGCGGAGCAAAGCAGGGGAGGGAATCTCCAAAGCTGTGAAACGCCAGCAGTCACTAGGAATCGGGCCAACTACTGACGAGACTGCCTGCATATCTAACCGCACCGACCCTCACCGAGTCACAGTACTGATTCGTGCTATCGATCGGACTCGGACGAATAAGAAGGGTACAGCGACAGATTGCCCAGTACTGATCCACGGGAAAATACAGGTAGCAGTAGTGAAGATTTTTATCGACGGAGGAGCAAGCCATAGTTTAGTTAATACCGCAACTGCACGAAAACTACAGCTCACACTTAGCCGTCGCTTACCGGAGATAAACGCATGCTTAGTCGACGGCACGCCACTGGCCATACGGGAAAAGGTAGAGAGAGTCAAAATCCGTTGCGGGGGAAATTGTCAGAACATTATAGCTTATACATTTGTGTAGGCTGTAGTGGGGTAGCCCATATGGGGTACAACCCAATTAGGGTTAGTACTTGTACCCAACTGTTTCATAGTTCATCCATTCTCACTTCTCGTCATGGTATCGAGCAGGTTCCCGAGTGGGAATACTGCATAGGGCCCACCACGTACTTTTTTTTTCTCCTCTGCCCGGAGCGCGCTTACCTCCTACCCGGGAAGCGCCCCGAGACGCCTTTTGGCCGCCCTTACTGCCCCTCGAGCCGCCCACCGTTGGCCCCGCTACGGCCCTGTTGGCCCTGCTTAGGCCCCGTCGGCCTCGCTTAGGCCTCGCTACGGCCTCGTTGCGGCCCCGCTTAGGCCCCGTCGGCCCCTCACTTCGGCCCCGTCGGCCCCGCTTAGCCCACCGTCGGCCACGCTTAGGCCCCGTCGGCCCCGCTATAGCCCCGCTTAGGCCCCACTACGGCCCTGATTGGCCCGGCTTAGGCCCCGTCGGCCCCGTTGCGGCCCCTGCTTAGGCCCCGTCAGCCCCACTTCGGCCCCGTTGCGGCCCCGCTACAGCCCCGCAACGGCCCCGTCGGCCCCGCTTAGCCCACCGTCGGCCCCGCTTAGGCCCTGTCGGCCCCGCTATGGCTCCGCTTAGGCCCCGTTGGCCCCGTTGCGGCCCCGCTTAGGCCCTGTCAGCCCCACTTCGGCCCCGTTGCGGCCCCGCTACAGCCCCGCTACGGCCCCGTCGGCCCCGCTTAGCCCACCTTCGCCCCCGCTTAGGCCCCGTCGGCCCCCACTTCGGCCCCGTTGCGGCCTCGCTACGGCCCCGTCGGCCCCGTTGCGGCCCCACTTAGGCCCCGTCGGCCCCGTTACGGCCCCGCTACAGCCCCGCTACGGCCCTGTCGACCACGCTACGGCCCCAGCTACGGCCCCGTCGGCCCCACTACGGCCCCACTACGGCTCCGTCGGCCCTGTTGGCCCCGTTACGGCCCCACCTCGGCCCCGTCTGCCCCTCTTAGGCCCCGCTGCGGCCCCGCTACAGCCCCGCTACGGCCCCGTCGGCCCCACTACAGCCCCGCTAAGGCCCCGTCGGCCCCACTTCGGCCCCACTGCGGCCCCACTAAGGCCCTGCTTAGGCCCCGTCGGCCCCACTTCGGCCCCACTGCGGCCCCGCTAAGGCCCCGCTAAGGCCCCGTCGGCCCCACTTCGGCCCCCCCCCTGCGGCCCAAGTAAGGCCCCTGCTACGGCCCCGTCCCAACCGCCCGAGTCGCCCAGCAACCGAGCCGCCAGGTAGCCGAGCCGCCCAGCAGCCGAGCTGCCCGACAGCCGAGCCACCCGACAGCTGAGCCGCCCAACATCGTGCAGCCGAGCCGCCCAGCAGCCGAGCCGCCCAGCAACCGGGCCGCCCGTGCAGCCGAGCCACCCGGCTGCCGAGCCGCCCTGCAGCCAAGCCGCCGAGCAGCCCGATCGCCCCACCTCCCTAGTAAGAGCTCAGTCTCTTCCTCACTGCGCTCACTGCCTCCCTACTGCTGTTATGGCTTCCCCTAGCGTCCTCACTTTTGACGCTGAGGGTCGGGCGGTGGATTTTGAGGTTTGGGTAGATGATCTACAGCTTTTTCTTCACTGCGATAGGGCAGACGGCCTCTCCCTGTTTGACCTCACTTCTGGTGCCTCCCCTGCCCCTGCTGCTGATGCTAACGCCACTGTTCGCTCCCAGTGGGCCACACGTGATGCTGCTGCTCGCCTTGCTGTTCGCCGCCACTTACCGACCACAGAGCGTGCGCACTTTAGCCAGTACAAGAGTGCCCAGACCTTGTACAACGCTGTAGTTGCACGCTACTCTTCCCCTGCCACTGCTGCACTGAGCCGCCTCATGCTTCCCTTCCTCTTCCCTGACCTTGCTGCCTTTCCCACAATCGCTGACCTCATTACGCACCTCCGCACTCTTGACACTCGCTACCACGCTGCGCTTCCTGCTGAGTTCTGCGCCAAGAACCCCCCCCCCCATGTACATCACCCTCTACTATATAGTCACCCGGCTCCCTCTTCGCGCAGTCAGGGACCACTTCCTCTCTGTTTGCCCCACCACTCTCACCGTTGACCTCCTCGAGAAGGCCCTCCTAGCGATAGAGAAGAGCATAGTCGCTGTAGGAGCCTCTCGTGGTGACCCTCGCACCCCCATCTTTGAGGGGTGTTCTCCCTCCCCCCTCTTGCCCTCTGTCGCCTCTGCTGCTGCGGCCGACCTCGTTGGTTTTGAGTCGGTCGGCGCTGCGTCTGTCCCGAGTGGAAGACGCCGCACTCGCAAGGGCAAGGGGGGCAAGGGCTCTAGAGGGGGTGGAGGGGGCGGTGGAGGTGGTGGTGGAGGCGTTGGAGGGAGTGGGGGTGGTGGTGGGAGTGGTGCCGGGGGTGGTGGTGGCGGCGGCAGCAGTGGAGGCGGCGGAGGCGGTTGAGGTGGCGGAGGGAGCGGAGGCGGCGGAGGTGGTGGAGGAGGCGGAGGTGGAGGAGGCGGCGGAGGCGGCGGAGGCGGCGGTGGCGGCGGCGGTGGCGACGGTGGTGGCGCGAGTCGCGACTCTGCACCGAGGAGTGGCTCCGGTGGTGGTCCGCCAGCAGCAGCAGCGGAGTGGTGTGACCATGTCCCCTCAGCAGCTTCGTGAGTGGTACACTGCACGCCAGCGAGGTGGGTTGGTCCCTACTCATACGTTCTCCGTACCGGCGACTGCACTGGTGAGCAGTTCGGAGGTCCGCAGTCCACCCAGCGCTGCTTTGGTTGCTTGACGGACGCGTGGCGTCACCAGTTACCTGACGCGTCAGAGATCCCTCGCTGGGGAGATCTGGCCAAGGCTAGGGTTGCTATCTTTGATCTTGACTTTGATGCTATTCTTGGTGCCATGTATGCTGTTGCTAATAGTGTTGAGGGTGCCTATTACCTGTATATACCGCATGACCCGGGCATTGAGGCTGCTGCGCTAGGTGCTGGTGAGACTGCTGCTCTTGGTGCTAGTGCGTCTGCAGCCCCAGGTGCTGGTGAGTCTGCTCTCTCAGGTACTGCTTCGGCTCAGGCCCTCCACACCTTCACCATAGACTCGGGTGCATCCCGCTCCTTCATTCGAGACCGCACCACTCTTACGCCACTTAGTCGGCCGGTTGCAGTCTCCCTGGCAGACCCCTCTGGGGGTCCTGTCCTTGCTAGCTTCTCCACTGTCCTTCCGTGCCCTGCAGCCCCCTCTGGCACCCTGTCTGGTCTGTATCTCACCTCGTTCTCTACGAACTTGGTGAGTGGAGCGGACCTACAGGATCGAGAGGTTGACCAGTTCACTCCTGCGAGTCAGCGAGTGACCCACTGCACGTGTGCTCGGACAGGTCGACACCTGGCCACGTTCAGCCGTCGGCCAGGGTCGAGTGTGTACACCCTTACTACTGCGTCTCCTCCTCCTGCTGCGTCTGCCCAGGTAGCTACGTCAAGTCAGGTGTTTGCTGCGGCGTCCAGGTCTGGTCCTGAGTCTGCCCCCTGCTCGTGTCGTCAGCTGTCCCACCAGACTCTCCTTTGGCACCACCGTCTTGGTCACCCTTCCTTGCCTCGTCTCAGAGGCATGGCCTCCCGTGTCCTTGTCTCTGGTCTTCCTCGGTCTCTCCCTCCCCTTCCTCCGGGGCCCGACCTTACCTGCATCCCCTGCGTTGAGGGGCGACAGCGCGCCGCCCCTCACTCCTCCGACAGAGGCTCCGCTGCAGACTCTCCACATGGACGTGTGGGGCCCAGCCCGCGTCAGTGGGCAGGGACGAGAGCGGTACTTTCTGCTGGTGGTTATCGACTACTCGCGTTACACCATAGTCTTCCCCTTGCGCAGCAAGGGTGACGTCACTGAGGTGTTGATCGACTGGATCCGCGCAGCTCGTCTAGCTCCGAGAGAGTTCCGGCTCCGACTTTCCTGTTCTGCGTCTGCACTCGGACAGAGGCGGGGAGTTTTCCTCTGCCCGTCTGGGAGCCTTCTGACGTGCGCAGGGCATCCGCCAGACCTTCACGCTTCCGGCCTCTCCACAGCAAAATGGGATTGCTGAGCACCGCATTGGCATGGTCATGGACGTCGCTCGTACGTCCATGATGCATGCGGCTGCCCCCCATTTTCTGCCCCCCATTTGCGGTTCAGTACGCCGCGCATCAGCTCAACCTGCAGCCCCGTGTCTCCATGCCAGAGACCTCCCACGCCTTGCGGTGGACCGGGAAGGTTGGCGATGCGTCTACGTTTCGGGTCTGGGGATCTCGGGCGTTTGTCCGCGACTCGTCTGCAGACAAGCTGTCCCCCCGTGCTATTCCCTGCGTCTTCCTTGGCTTCCCCCCCGACGCGCATGGCTAGCGGTTCTACCACCCCACCTCGCGACGTGTTCTGTCCTCCCAGGACGTCACCTTTGAGGAGTCGGTGCCTTACTACCGTCTCTTCCCCTACCGCACTGCACCCCTCCCCCCGCCGCCGCTCTTCCTTGCGCCAGGTGCTACTCAGGTAGACCTCCTCCCTCCTCAGGGTCCTGCCCCTTCAGGTGTGTCCCAGGTAGACGCAGTCGAGCCTGTCGAGGTAGCTTTCGACTCTGGTGTTGCTAGAGGTGCTGAGCCAGCGGGTGCCGGGTCTGCGGGTGCTGGGTCTCGGGGTGCTGAGCCTAGGGGTGCTGAGACTGGGGGTGCTGAGACTGGGGGTGCTGAGCCTGGGGGTGCTGCGTCTGGGGGTGCTGGGACTGGGGGTGCTGAGCCTGGGGGTGCTGAGCCTGGGGGTGCTGGGTCTGCTTGTGTGGCCGCCGGTGGTGCTTCGTCGAGGTGGGAGCCGCTCTCTCCACAGGAGCTGCGCGAGTGGTTCGTCCGCCGCTGGAGACGTGCTGCTGAGTCTGGGGGTGCCGCTGGAGCTACTAGACTTGGTCCTACTGGAGCTGCTGTTGGTGCAGGTGCTGCTGGAGGTGGAGCTGCTGGAGGTGTTAGCGCTGGGGTTTCTACTGGTGCTGGTGCATCAGGGGGTGCTGCTGAGGCAGCTGGTGCTGAGGTTTCTACTGGAGTTGGAGCTGCTGAGGGTGTTGGCGCTGGCGGTGCTGCTGGCGCTGGTGCTTCTGAGGGTCCTGGAGTTGGCGCTGTTGGAGCTGGAGGTTCTGCTGGCGCTGGTGCTGCCACTTGGGGTCCTGGTGCCGTCCTTGCTGGTTCTGGAGGCGCTGCGCGGCCGAGGCCGTACTTCGTTCCCCTCCTGGAGCAAGTTCTTGGTCTCCCTCCCTCTACTGGTCCTGCTCCTCCCCTAGAGTGTCCGCAGCCTGTCCAGTCGCAGTCCCAGTTACAGCCCGCCTCCCCGCTACCTGCTCCTTCTCCCTACACTGGTCCTACTGGAGGTCTTGCTGAGCGTCGTGAGCCTGCGTCTCGTCCTGCGTCGCCTGTTTGTGCTGCTCGCACTAGTGGTCGTACTGCGCGTCCGCGTCCTCCTGCACTCCGCGGCACACACCAAATGGCACTGCGTCCGTCCACTGCTCCTCTGCGTGTCCCTTTGCCGTCTCCTCCAGAGTCCTCTCTTCCTTCGCTTGCTGACCCGGAGTCCGACTCCCTTCGTGCTGCTAGTCCTTCGGTCACGCGCCTTCTTGCTACTGTTGTCACTGACCCTACCTTTGAGTCCACTGCTGCGTCTGCTCTAGTTGCTGAGCTTGTCGTTTTCGCTGCTCGCTGTCGTCTAGACTACGCTGCTAGTCTTGTTGCTGCGTCTGCGTCTGTCTGTCCTCCGTCCGTTGGGGGTGAGTGTGCTCTTAGCACGGACGTCCTTGAGGACAGGCAGGAGGAGTTCTAGTGCTTTGCGGCTGCTTTGCCCCTTCTCGTGTCCTCGCTGATTGCCCCTGAGGGAGACCCGGATGCACCAGACATCCCGACTCCTCGATCGTACGCTGAGGCGATCGAGGGTCCCTACTCCTCTCAATAGCAGTTGGCCATGGACGCAGAGATGGCTTCCTAGAAGTCCACAGGCACCTACGTCGACGAGGTTCCCCCACCTGGGGCGAACATCGTCCGTGGGATGTAGATCTTCAGGGTGAAGCGGCCGCCAGGCTCTCCGCCTGTCTTCAAGGCACGGTACGTCGCTCGAGGTATCAGTCAGCGGCAGGGAGTTGACTACTTTCAGACCTTCTCTCCCACCCCGAAGATGACCACTCTTCGGGTGCTGCTGCACATAGCCGCTCAGCGCGACTACGAGCTTCACTCTCTTGACTTCAGCACAGATTTCCTGCAGGGCAGCCTGCACGAGGAGATCTGGCTGCGCCGCCCTCCTGGCTTCACTGGGTCGTTTCCTCCTGGTACCCAGTTGAGCCTCCGGCGGCCAGTCTACGGTCTCCGTCAGGCGCCCCGTGAGTGGCACGACACACTGAGGACTACACTTGTGGCTCTAGGGTTTGCTTCTTCTACAGCCGACCCGTCGCTGTTTCTACGCACCGACACCTCCCTGCCGCCGTTCTACATCCTCGTGTACGTCGACGACTTGGTCTTTGCCACTGCTGACACTACTGGACTCGCTCACGTGAAGTCCGAGCTGCAGAAGAGACACACGTGCACAGACCTGGGTGAACTGCGCAGCTACCTTGGCTTGCAGATCACCCGGGACAGAGCACAGCGCACCATTACCCTGACTCAGTCACACATGGTGCAGCAGGTCCTTCAGCGCTTCGGCTTCACGTACTTTTCGCCTCAGGCCACTCCTCTGTCTACTCGCCACTCGCTCTCAGCTCTGCCTTCGGATGAGTTCGTAGAGTCGAGTGGCCCGTACCCAGAGCTTGTTGGCTGCCTCATGTACCTGATGACCTGCACACAACCTGGCCTTGCATACCCTCTTAGCATCTTGGCACGCTATGTTGCTCCTGGGAGACACCGACCAGAGCACATGGCTGCAGGGAAGAGGGTGTCACGCTACATGTGCAGTACATCGGGCATGGGGCTAGTGCTTGGAGGGCGACGTCGAGTAGTCCTCACAGGTCACGCTGACGCTTCTTGGGCTGACGACCAGGCTACGCAGCGGTCGTCACAGGGTTACACCTTCAGCCTTGGCTCTGGTTCTGTTTCGTGGCGGTCTACCCGCTCGTCCTCTGTTCTCGGCTTCAGCTTTTAGGCTGAGATCTACGCAGGGGCCATGGCTGCACAAGAGCTACGCTGGCTCACCTACCTTCTTACTGACCTAGGAGAGCAGCCTCGTTCTCCTCCAGTTGTGTACGTAGACAACAAGGCCATGCTGGCCTTGTGTCGGGAGCACAGACTGGAGCACAGAACGAAGCACATTGCTCTCCGCTACTTCTTGTCTCGTGAGCTGCAGCAACGCGGTCAGCTCCGCCTAGCCTACGTGGCCTCTGAGGCCAACACTGCTGATATCTTCACCAAGGCCCTTCCGCCTTGTGATCATCAGCGTTTCTGTATTGTGCTAGGTCTTGTGCCTACCTGGCCTCACTTGCTCACTTCTTGATCTTGTTTGTAGTGTATTCTTCCTATACTTGCACTTGCTTGTTTTCGCTTTGTATATATGTTCTTGCATGTGAACTGGCCTTGTGGCCCTACTCTTGTGCTCGGACTGTGTGGTGACTTTGTGATCCACCCTGAGCTTGCTTTGCTTTGCTTGACTGGTCTTGTGACCACTTGTTCTCCCCCACTTTGCCTATGGGGGTGTGTCAGAACATGATAGCTTATACATTTGTGTAGGCTGTAGTGGGGTAGCCCATATGGGGTACAACCCAATTAGGGTTAGTACTTGTACCCGACTGTTTCATAGTTCATACATTCTCACTTCTCGTCAGAAATTTTTGGATTTACAGAGGAAATGCTCGCAACGACACTGGATTGGCACGATATTTTATTGGGACGTCATTGGCTGCGACAGTATAACCTGCAAATTGACTAGACGACGGGTAGCTGCACCGTGCGAAGTACTTGTAGCTGGGTCGAGCTACCTTGCTGGCGGTCGCCCGAGTCTTCAACGGTACACGTCAACGCCATCACAATGAAGCGGGCTGTCGCTGCTAGAGCTGACGTGTACACAGTAGACATCACAGTACTAGAGGAAGCGGAGTAGCTGAGTGATTTCAAGAAACTGCTGGCAGCTGTACCGCCCGAATTACAGGAACTGTTGAAACGATACCCCGATACTTTTCCCGAAGACTTACTGGAAGGACTGCCACCTCAACGAGCACACGACCACCAAATCGAATTAGAACCGGGGGCATAGCCAACCGTACAGCGCCAGTTCAGACTAACACAGCCCGAGCTCGATGAACTAAGGAAGCGATTAGATTACTCGTTACAGAAAAATTCATGAGACCGAGCTCGTCACCGTTCGCCGCACCGATACTATTTACGCTGAAAAAAGAAGGGGGTTTTCGCATGTGTATCGACTACAGAGCACTGAACATGGTAACAGTGAAGTCGCGGTACCCCATTCTCCGCGCCGACGAACTGATCGACCAACTGCAAATAGCCCGGGTTTTTTTTCGAAAATCGATTTACGGGGAGGTTACCATCAGATTAGGGTCGAACCATCGGACTACGTCAAAACAACTTTCAGGACTAGAAACGGGTCGTTCGAGTAAACTGTGATGCCATTCGGGCTGACCAATGTACCGGTGACTTTTCAAATGACCATGAACGAGGCATTTAGGCCGCTCTTAGATAAGTGCGTAATAGTTTACCTCGACGACATTCTAGTGTATAGTCGGGATAAGCAGCAACACTTAGCAGATCTGGAAGCAGTGTTTAAGGTTTTAGACGAGCACAGATTAGTGACCAAGTGCTCCAAGTGCGAGTTCTTCCAGGATAGGTTAGAATTTTTGGGGCACGTTATCCTGGAGGCTGGAGTTGAAATCGACCCAAAGAAGCTGGATATGGTAAAAGCGTGGCATCCCCCAACGAACATCACAGAGCTGCAGAGCTCTTTAGGGTTCGTTAATTATGTGCGTCGGTTCGTCCTCGATATGGCACGGTTAACTGCCCCACTAACGGATTTACTACGAAAGGGGGTCGCTTTTACGTAGGGGGAGAAAGATCATGCTGCCTTCTCTGCCCTTAAAAATGTTCTCTATTCACCGCCCGTCCTACGCATCGCCGACCCACACCGCCCATTCGAAGTAGTTACCGACGCAAACGATATCGCCATCGGAGCCGTACAACTACAGGATTTCGGCAATGGCCTGTCAGAATCCCAACCACTAGACCATTGGGATAAAAGGGCTTGTTTCAGTAGTGGGTCATGTCAGAATATATTTGCTGTCTAGCCTGCAGTGGGGTACTCTGTAATGAGTACAACCCAATTTAGGGCATTGTACTTGTATCCCAACTCTTGCTAGTGAAACCCCTTCTCTTTCAAAAATCTCTCGATACTTTCCTAACCCTCTCGAACTCGATCACCTAGGCACCTACACTATGGCTTCTAAGCCTACCCTTGCTTAAGATTCTGATAGGTCAGTGCATGCATAACCCTCTCCAAGATCAATCGGGCATCCATAGTGCAGATCTACTGACATGACCTACGACCTATTGCATACGAGTCACGAATGTCAGAACATTGTATAGCTTATACTGTTGTGTAGGCTATAGTGGGGTATCCCATAGGGGGTACAACCCAATTAGGGTTTCCTATTTGTACTTACTTCACTCATAGTTCATTTCATTCTCGTTCAGTTTTTCTCATGGTATCGAGCAGGTTCCCCTGTGGGAACTGCACCTAGGGCCCACCACTCGATATCTTTTTTTCCTACCCGAAGCGCACTCATCCCGAGTCGCGCCTCGGGCCACCCTCTCACCGAGCCGCCCTAGCGGCCGGCCTTTCGATCGCGGCCCCGCCGCCCCTGCCTTCGCGGCCCTGGCGCTCCTGAACTCGCGGCCCCGCCGCTCCTGAACTCGCGGCCCCACCGCTCCTGAACTCGCGGCCCCGCCGCCCCTCCTGTCGCGGCCCCGCCACTTGCGGCCATCGCCGCCCCTGCTCTAGCGGCCCCGCCGCCCGCTGCTCGCGGCCCTCGCCGCCCCTACTCTCACGGCCATCGCCGCCCCTGCTCTCGCGGCCCCGCCGCCCATTGCTCGCGGCCCCGCCGCTCGCGGCCCTCGCCGCCTCTGCTCTCGCGGCCCCGCCGCCCACCGCTCGCGGCCCTCGCCGCCTCTTCTCTCGCGGCCCCGCCGCCCCTACTGTCGCGGCCCCGCCGCCCGCGGCCCTCGCCGCCTCTACTCTCGCGGCCCCGCCGCCCCTGTTGTCGCGGCCCCGCCGCTCGCGGCCCCGCCACCCCTGCTTACGCGACACCGCCGCCCCTACACGCGGCCCCGTCGCCCTTGCTCTCGCGGCCCCGCCGCTCCTGATCTCGCGGCCCCGCCGCCCCTGCTCTCGCGGCCCTACCGCCTCTGCTCACGCGACACCGCCACCCCTACTCACGGCCCCGTCGCCCCTGCTCTCACGGCCCCGCCGCCCGGTACCGGAGCAGCCGAACCGCCCCGCCCGAGCCGCCCTGCACCCGCGCCGCCCTGCCGCCGAGCCGCCCGGGAGCCGAGCCGCCCAGCAGCAGCCGAGCCGCCCAGCAGCAGCCGAGCCGCCCAGCAGCAGCCGAGCCGCCCAGCAGCAGCCGAGCCGCCTAGCAGCAGCCGAGCCGCCCAGCAGCAGCCGAGCCGCCCAGCAGCAGCCGAGCCGCCCAGCAGCAGCCGAGCCGCCCAGGCGCCGCCGAGCCGCCCTTCTGCCGAGCCGCCCGACCTGCCCTGCCCGGTGAGCACCGTCCCGCTGTCACTGCGTGCCCTTTCCCTACTGCTTGCACTGCTTCGCTGTCGTAGTCATGGCTACCCCTAGTGTCCTAGTTTTTGACGCTGAGGGTCGAGCCATTGACTTTGAGGTCTGGGTCGACGACCTGCAGCTGTTCTTACAGTGCGATAGGGCGGACGGTCTCTCTCTCTTTGACCTCACTTCTGGCGCCTCTCCTGCCCCTGCTGCTGATGCTGACCCCACTGTTCGCTCTCAGTGGGCCACCCGCGATGCTGCTGCACGTCTTGCTGTGCGTCGCCACCTCCCTACCACTGAGCGCGCGCACTTTAGTCAGTACAAGAGTGCTCAGACCTTGTACGACGCTGTAGTTGCGCGCTACTCTTCCCCTGCCACTGCTGCACTGAGCCGTCTCATGCTACCGTACCTCTTTCCTGACCTCACTGCCTTTCCCACTGTCGCTGACCTCATTACGCACCTCCGCACTAGTGACACTCGCTACCGCGCCGCCCTTCCTGCTGAGTTCTGCGCCAAGAACCCCCCCCCCCCCCCCCATGTACATCACTCTCTACTACGTAGTCGCACGCCTCCCTGACTCCCTTCGCGTAGTCAGGGACCACTTTCTCTCAGTCTGTCCCACCACCCTCACTGTCGACCTCCTCGAGAAGGCCCTCCTAGCGGCGGAGAAGAGCATCGTCGCTGTAGGAGCCTCTCGTGGTGACCCTCGCACCCCCATCTTTGAGGGGTGCTCTCCTTCCCCCCTGCTGCCCTCTGTTGCCTCTGCTGCTGCTGCCGACCTGCTTGGTCTTGAGTCGGTCGGCGCGGCGTCTGCCCCTAGCGGGAGACGCCGCTCCGGCAAGGGCAAGGGGGGCAAGGGCGCGGGTGGAGCTGGAGGGGGCGGTGGAGGTGGCGGTGGAGGCGGTGGAGGGAGTGGGGGTGGCGGTGGGAGTGGTGGCGGAGGCGGTGCTGGTGCTGGCAGCGGCGGAGGAGGCGGCGGTGGTGGCGGCAGCGGTGGGAGTGGTGGCGGCAGTGGAGGCGGAGGAGGAGGAGGTGTTGGCGGAGGAGGTGGAGCTGGTCGGGGTGGTGCCCCGCAGCGGAGCGGCGCTGGTAGTGGTCAGCGCCAGCAGCAGCAGCAGCAGCAGCAGCAGCGTTTGCGGGACATCCCTCCGCCCCAGCAGCTCCGTGAGTGGTACACTCAGCGTCAGAGGGGTGGGGGTACTGGTCCGTGCACCTACGTCCTTCGTTCCGGCGACCGCGCGGGTGAGCAGTGTGGGGGTGCCCACCCCACCCAGCGCTGCTTTGGCCGCCTGACGGACGCTTGGCGTCAGCAGTTCCCCGAGGCTAGTGAGATTCCGCGCTGGGGAGAGCTGTCTAGGGCTGGTGTAACTATCTTTGATCTTGACTTTGATGCTATCCTTGCTGCTATGTATGCTGTGACTATTAGTGAGGAGGGTGACTGTTACCGGTGTTTCCCGCCCGACCCGGGCATTGGTACTGCTGCGCTAGGTGCTTGTGAGACTGCTGCTCTAGGTGCCAGTGTGTCTGCACGCTCAGGTACTGGTGAGGCTGCGCTTTCAGGTACTGCGTCGGCTTCGTCCTCCCTCTCTTTCACGCTTGACTCAGGAGCTTCCCGCTCCTTCTTTCGAGACCGCACCACACTCACGCCGCTTGGTCGGCCGGTTGCAGTCTCCCTGGCTGACCCCTCTGGGGGTCCTGTCCTCTCTCACTTTTCCACTGTCCTCCCGTGTCCGGCTGCTCCCTCGGGCACCCTGTCTGGTCTGTACCTTCCCTCGTTCTCGACGAACTTGGTGAGTGGTGCGGACCTCCAGGATGCGGGGGTTCACCAGTTCACTCCTGCGAGTCAGCGGGTGACCCACTGCACGGACGCACGCACAGGCCGAGACCTGGCCACGTTCTCGCGTCGGCCGGGGTCGAGCCTCTACACCCTGACCACTGAGTCTCCTCCTGTCCCTGCGTCTGGTCAGGTAGCTGCGTCAGGTCAGGTGTTTGCTGCTGCGTCCCGGTCTGGCCCTGAGTCTGCCCCCTGTTCGTGTCGCCTCCTATCTCACGAGACTCTCCTGTGGCACCACCGTCTTGGCCACCCCTCCTTGCCCCGTCTTCGGAGCATGGCTTCCCGTGTCCTTGTCTCAGGTCTTCCCCGGTCTCTCCCTCCCCTTCCTTCGGGACCAGGACCTTCCTGTGTCCCCTGTGTCGAGGGGCGCCTCAGGGCTGCCCCTCACTCCTCCCAGTTTCCCCCGACAGAGGCTCCTCTGCAGACACTTCACATGGACGTGTGGGGCCCGGCCCGCGTCCGTGGGCAGGGTCACGAGCGCTACTTCCTGTTGGTGGTTGACGACTACTCACGTTACACCACAGTCTTCCCCTTGCGCAGCAAGGGTGATGTCACTGAGGTGCTGATCAACTGGATCCGCGAGGCTCGTCTCCAGCTCAGGAGGAGCTTCGGCTCGGACTTTCCTGTTCTGCGTCTGCACTCTGACCGAGGTGGGGAGTTCTCCTCTCGCCTTCTACGAGACTACTGTCGTGCACGGGGGATCCGCCAGACCTTTACGCTTTCGGAATCTCCACAGCAAAATGGGATTGCTGAGCGCCGCATTGGCATGGTCATGGATGTCGCTCGTACGTCCATGATGCATGCGGCTGCCCCCCATTTTCTGTGGCCGTTTGCGGTTTGGTACGCGGCGCATCAGCTCAACCTTCATCCCAGGGTCTCTCGGCCCGCGATGTCCCCAGTCTTGCTGTGGACGGGGAAGGTCGGCGATGCGTCTGCGTTCCGTGTCTGGGGATCTCGGGCGTTTGTCCGCGACTTGTCTGCGGACAAGCTGTCCCCCCGTGCTGCTCCCTGTGTCTTCCTTGGCTTCCCCCCTGACGCTCCAGGGTGGCAGTTCTACCACCCCTCCTCTCGTCGTGTTCTGTCCTCCCAGGACGTCACGTTCGACGAGTCAGTCCCCTTCTACCGCCTCTTCCCCTACCGCACTCCTTCCCTCCCCCCGCCACCGGACTTCCTTGTGCCGGTTCCCCCCCCGGTAGACCCCCTCCCCCCTCAGGTTCCTGCCCCCTCAGGTGTGTCCCAGGTAGACGCAGTTGACCCGGTCGAGGTTGCTGGTGACTCTGGTACTGCTGCGGGTGCTGAGCCTGGGGGTGCTGACTCTGGGGGTGTTGTGCACGTGGGTGCTGAGCCTGGGGGTGCCGAGCCTGGAGGTGCTGCTGCTGGGGGTACTGAGCATGGGGGTGCTGCTGCTGGGGGTGCTGAGCCTGGGGGTGCTGAGCCGGGGGGTGCTGTGCCTGGAGCTGCTGAGCCTGGGGGTGCTGAGTCTGGGGGTGCTGAGTCTGGAGCTGCTGAGCTTGGGGGTGCTGAGGCTGGAGCTGCTGAGCCTGTGGGTGCTGAGTCTGGGGGTGCTGCGTCTTGCGCTGCTGAGCCTGGGGTTTCTCCTGGTGCTCCGTCTCGGCGGGAGCCCCTCTCTCCACAGGAGCTGCGCGAGTGGTTTGCTCGCCGCTGGAGGCGTACTGCTGGAGCTGGAGCTTCTTCGACCGCCGAGGGTGCTGGTGCCGCCGGTCCCGCAGCTGCTGGGCCTGCGGGTCCTACTGGAGCTGGAGCTGCTGAGGGTGTTGGTGCTGAGACTGTTGCTGTCTGTCCTGGCGGTGGTCCTGCTCCTGGTGCTGCTGGAGGTCCTGCCGCTGGAGGTGTTGTTGGCGCTGGTGCTTCCGCTGAGGGTGCTGGTGCTGTCCCTGCTGGGTCTGGAGTTGCCGCGCGACCTCGGCCGTACTTCGTTCCGCTTCTACAGCAGGTTCTTGGTCTTTCTCCTCCTGTAGAGTGTCCACAGCCTGTCCAGTCGCAGTCACTGTTGGAGCCTACCTCCCCACTGCTTGCTCCCTCTCCTTACACTGGTCCTACTGGAGGTCTTGCTGAGCGTCGTGAGCCTGCGTCTCGTCCCGCGTCGCCTGTTCGTCCTGCTCGCGCTAGTGGTCGCAGTTCGCGTCACCGTCCTCCTCCTGTCCCTGGCACGCACCGGATGTCTCTGCGTCCGTCCACTGCTCCTCTACCTTCTCCTCCTGAGTCCTCTCTTCCTGCGCTTGGCGACCCGGAGTCGGACTCCCTTCGTGCTGCCAGTCCTACTGTCACGCGTCTCCTTGCTACTGTCGTCACTGACCCCTCTTTTGAGTCCACTGCTGCGTCTGCTCTTATCGCTGAGCTCGTCGACTTTGCTGCCCGCTGTCGTCTAGACTACGCTGCTAGTCTTGTTGCTGAGTCTGCGTCTGTCTGTCCTCCGTCCGTCGGGGGTGAGTGTGCTCTTGGCACGGACGTCCTTGAGGACAGGCAGGAGGAGTTCCAGTGTCTGGCTGCTGCTTCACCTCATCTCGCGTCTGTACTGCTTGCTCCTGAGGGAGACCCGGATGCACTAGACATCCCGACTCCGCGCTCTTACGCGGAGGCCGTAGAGGGTCCCTACTCCTCTCAGTGGCAGGCAGCTATGGATGCAGAGATGGCTTCCTGGAAGTCCACACGCACCTACGTTGACGCGGTTCCCCCTCCTGGGGCGAACATCGTCAGTGGCATGTGGATCTTCAGGGTGAAGCGGCCGCCGGGCTCTCCACCTGTCTTCAAGGCGCGGTACGTCGCTCGTGGCTTTAGTCAGCGGCGGGGAGTTGACTACTTTCAGACCTTCTCTCCCACCCCGAAGATGACCACTCTTCGGGTGCTGCTGCACATAGCCGCTCAGCGCGACTACGAGCTTCACTCTCTCGACTTCAGCACTGCGTTCTTGCAGGGTAGCCTGCACGAGGAGATCTGGCTGCGCCGTCCACCTGGCTTCACTGGGACTTTCCCTCCTGGCACCCAGTGGAGCCTCCGACGGCCAGTCTACGGTCTCCGCCAGGCACCGCGTGAGTGGCACGACACACTAAGGACTACACTTGCGGCTCTTGGGTTTGCTCCCTCTACTGCTGACCCGTCGTTGTTTCTGCGCACCGTCACTTCTCTCCCGCCATTCTACATCCTCGTGTACGTCGACGACTTGGTCTTTGCCACAGCGGACACTGCTGGACTCGCCTACGTGAAGTCCGAGCTGCTAAAGAGACACACGTGCACAGACCTGGGTGAACTGCGCAGCTATCTTGGCTTGCAGATCACTCGGGACAGAGCACGCCGCACCATTACCTTGACTCAGTCACACATGGTGCAGCAGGTCCTTCAGCGCTTCCGCTTCACGTACTCCTCGCCTCAGGCCACTCCTCTGTCTACTCGCCACTCGCTCTCAGCTCTGCCTTCGGATGAGTCCGTAGAGTCGAGTGGCCCGTACCCAGAGCTTGTTGGCTGCCTCATGTACCTGATGACCTGCACACGACCTGACCTTGCATACCCTCTTAGCATTCTTGCACGCTATGTTGATCCTGGGAGACACCGACCAGAGCACATGGCTGCAGCGAAGAGGGTGTTGCGCTACCTGTGCAGTACGTCGGGCATGGGGCTAGTGCTTGGAGGGCGGAGTCCAGTGGTCCTTACGGGACACGCGGACGCTTCTTGGGCTGACGACCAGGCTACTCAGCGGTCGTCACAGGGTTACACCTTCAGCCTTGGTTCCGGCTCTGTCTCGTGGCGGGCTACTCGCTCGTCTTCGGTCCTCAGCTCCAGTTGTGAGGCTGAGATCTACGCAGGGGCCATGGCTGCACAGGAGCTTCGCTGGCTCACCTACCTGCTGACTGACCTTGGAGAGCCGCCTCGTTCTCCTCTAGTGCTGTACGTAGACAACAAGGCCATGCTGGCCTTGTGTCGAGAGCAGCGCCTGGAGCACAGAACGAAGCACATTGCTCTTCGCTACTTCCTTGCTCGTGAGCTACAGCAGCGTGGACAGTTGCGGCTTGCGTACGTGGCCTCTGAGGCCAACACTGCTGACGTGTTCACCAAGGCACTCGCGCCTTGTGACCATCAGCGCTTCTGCACCCAGCTGGGTCTTGTACCTGTCTTGCCTCACTTGCTCTCCTCTTGACCTTACTTGTACTGTCACATATATATACCTGCTCTTGCTTGTCTAGCTCTATATATATATGTGTACTCCTGCATGTGAACTGGCCTTATGGCCTTGTTGTTGTGCTCGGACTGTGTGGTGACTTTGTGATCCACCCTGAGCTTTGCTTGCTTTGCTTGACTGGTCTTGTGACCCCTTGTTCTCCCCCACTTTGCCAATGGGGGTGTGTCAGAACATTGTATAGCTTATACTGTTGTGTAGGCTATAGTGGGGTATCCCATAGGGGGTACAACCCAATTAGGGTTTCCTATTTGTACTCACTTCACTCATAGTTCATTTCATTCTCGTTCAGTTCTTCTCAACGAAAACTGCATCCGCCCGAGAAAAATTACCCGATACACGACAGCGAAATGCTTGCGATTGTGCACGCGTTCAAAGTATGGCGCTGTTACTTGATTGGCGCGGACGTGACAGTACGGACAGACCATAAATCACTATAGTACCTACGCGCACAGCCACACCTCAACCCACGACAGATTCGCTGGCTCGATTTCCTCGAGTCCAACTTTCACTACATGGTCACATACAAAAAGGGAGCCTCGAACATCGCCGACGCACTGACCCGCCCCACTGCCCAGATCCACGCAATACTACTCGCCCAGACAAGCCCGCTACTGACACGCCTGGGTACCACGGGTACCAAACGGATCCATTCTTCACAGGAGGAAATTCGCAGCAGTTCGCAGCAGCAAAGGGAGTCTATTACGTAAAAACCGGGATTGACCGCATCTGGGTGCCTAGGTATACACTGCTTCAGGAATTACTATTACAGAAGGCACACGACGGAGTTACCTCGGAGCATTTCGGAGTAAAAATAAACACGGCAGCAGCTGCAACGGTATTATTACTGGCCCGAAATGTTGACCAACGTGCAACGACACGTGGCTTCGTGTCCCACTTGTCAGCTCATTAAATCATCACGACAGCGGCCGGCGGGAGAGTTGCAGCTGATACCACCCCCAGAACGTGCTTGGCAGCAGGTGACAATGGACTTCGTCACGAGGTTACCAGCCAGGGCGAGTGGGAACGACGCGATCCTGGTCGTCGTCGATCGACTGACGAAAATGGCACATTTTGCAGCCTGCAAAAAATCAATCACAGCCGAAGAAACAGCACGCCTCTTCATCTCCACCGTCGTTCGACTGCACGGGATACTGTCAGATTTGTATGACATAGCTGTTGTAGGCTAAAGTGGGGTAGCACATATGGGGTACAGCTTTCTATGGTTGTATTTGTACCCAACTTTCACTTAGTCATTTCATTCTCGTTCCAACTTTCTCATGGTATCGAGCAGGTTTCCTCGTGGGAACTGTGCCTAGGGCCCACCACATCGAAAAAAAAATTCCTGCCCGGAGCGCGCTCCCCGAGTCGCGCTCCCCTCTCTGCCTTCGTCGAGCCGCCCTACCGGCCACGTCGCGTCGCCCCTAGCGGCCTCCCTTGCGCCGCCCTTACTCGGCCCGTCGCCGCCCTTCACGGCCCGTCGCCACCCTAAGCGGCCCGTCGCCGCCCTCACTTGCGGCCCCGCCGCCCTCACTTGCGGCCCCGCCGCCCTCAGTTGCGGCCCCGTCGCCGCCCTCAGTTGCGGCCCCGTCGCCGCCCTCAGTTGCGACCTCGCCACCCTCACTTGCGGCCCCGCCGCCCTCACTTGCGGCCCCGCCGCCCTCACTTGCGGCCCCGCCGCCCTCACTTGCGGCCTCGCCGCCCTCACTTGCGGCCCCGCCGCCCTCAGTTGCGGCCCCGTCGCCCTCGGTTGCGGCCCTGCCGCCCTCACTTGCGGCCCCGCCGCCCTCATTTGCGGCCCCGTCGCCCTCGGTTGCGGCCCCGCCGCCCTCAGTTGCGGCCTCGTCGCCGCCCTCAGTTGCGGCCCCGTCGCCGCCCTTTAGTTGCGGCCCGTCGCCGCCCTCACCTGCGGCCCCGCCGCCCTCACTTGCGGCCCCGCTGCCCTCACTTGCGGCCCTGCCGCCCTCACCTGCGGCCCCGCCGCCCTCACTTGCGGCCCCGCCGCCCTCAGTTGCGGCCCCGCCGCCCTCAGATGCGGCCCCTTCGCCGCCCTCAGTTGCGGCCCGTCGCCGCCCTCACGTGCGGCCCCGCCGCCCTCACTTGCGGCCCCGTCAATTGCTGCAGCGCCGCCCGCCACCCGAGCCGCCCGAGCCGCCTCACCCAGCCGAGCCGCCGATCACGGCGCCGCCCTGCAGCAGCACAACCGAACCGCCCACCAGCAGAGCAGCCAAGCCGCCGAGCCGCCCTGCAGCCGAGCCGCCCAGCCGCCCGACCGCCGAGCCGCCATGCAGCCGAGCCGCCGAACCGCCGAGCCGCCAAGCCGCTCAGCAGCCGAGCCGCTGAGCCGCCCAGCAGCAGAGCCGCCGAGCCGCCAAGCCGCCCTACCGCCGAGCCGCCCGAGCAGCCTTGTCCGGTGAGCACAGCGCCTCTGACACTGCACTACCCTTTCCCTACTGCTTGCACTGCTAGTCTACTGTTGTCATGGCTACCCCTACTGTCCTCGCTTTTGACGCTGAAGGTCGAGCCATTGACTTTGACGTCTGGGTCGACGACCTGCAGCTATTCTTACAGTGCGATAGGGCAGACGGTCTCTCTCTCTTTGACCTCACCTCTGGCGCCTCTCTTGCCCCTACTGCTGATGCTGACGCCGCTGTTCGCTCCCAGTGGGCCACGCGCGACGCTGCTGCACGTCTTGCTGTGCGTCGCCACCTGCCTACCACTGAGCGCGCGCAATTTAGTCAGTACAAGAGTGCTCAGACCTTGTACGGCGCTGTAGTTGCGCGCTACTCTTCCCCTGCCACTACTGCACTGAGCCGCCTCATGCTACCGTACCTCTTCCCTGACCTTGCTGCCTTTCCCACTGTCGCTAACCTTATTACGCACCTCCGCACTAGTGACACTCGCTACCGCGCCGCGCTTCCTGCTGAGTTCTGCGCCAAGAACCCACCCCCCATGTACATCACTCTCTATTATATAGTCACCCGCCTCCCTGACTCCCTTCGTGTAGTCAGGGACCACTTCCTCTCAGTCTGTCCCACCACTCTCACTGTTGACCTCCTAGAGAAGGCCCTCCTAGCAGTGGAGAAGAGCTTAGTCGCTGTAGGAGCCTCTCGTGGTGACCCTTGCACCCCCATCTTTGAGGGGTGTTCCCCTTCCCCCTTTTTGCCCTCTCTCGCCTCTGCTGCTGCGGCCGACCTCGTTGGTCTTGAGTCGGTCGGTGCGGCGTCTGCCCCTAGCGGGAGACGCCGCTCTGGCAATGGCAAGGGGGGCAAGGGCGTGGGTGGAGCTAGCGGGGGTGGTGGAGGTGGCGGTGGAGGCGGCGGAGGGAGTGGGGGTGGCGGTGGGAGTCGTGGCGGGGGTGGAGGTGTCGGTGGCAGCAGTGGAGGCAGAGGCGGCGGAGGCGGTAGCGGTGGGAGCGGAGGCGGCGGTGGTGGCGAGGGTGTAGGAGGCAGTGGTGGAGGAGGTGGAGCTGGTCGGGGTGGCGCTTCGCAGCGGAGCGGCTCCGATGGTGGTCAGCGCCAGCAGCAGCAGCAGCAGTAGCAGCGTTCTCGGGACACCCCCACCCCTCAGCAGCTCCGTGAGTGGTACGCGCAGCGTCAGCGTGGTGGGGGTTTTGGTCCGTGCACCTACGTCCTTCGCACCGGCGACCGCGCGGGTGAGTAGTGTGGGGGTGCCCACCCCACCCAGCGCTGCTTTGGCCGCCTGACGGACGCTTGGCGTCAGCACTTCCCGGAGGCTACAGAGATCCCCCGCTCGGGAGAGCTTTCTAGGGCAGGTGTAGCTATCTATGATCTTGAATTTGATGCTATCCTTGCTGCCATGTATGCTGTGACTATTAGTGTGGAGGGTGACTGTTTCCAGTGTTTCCCGCCCGACCCGGGCATTGAGACTGCTGCTCTAGGTACTGATGAGGCTGCTGCTCTAGGTGCCAGTGCGTCTGCGTCCTCAGGTGCTGGTGAGTCTGCGCTCTCAGGTACCGCGTCGGCTTCGGCCTCCCTCACCTTCACACTTGACTCAGGGGCTTCTCGCTCCTTCTTTCGAGACCGCACCTCACTCACGCCGCTTGGTCGCTCGGTTGCAGTCTCCCTGGTAGACCCCTCTAAGGGCCCTGTCCTCTCTCACTTCTCTACTGTCCTCCCGTGTCCTGCTGTCCCCTCTGGCACCTTGTCTGGTCTTTACCTCCCCTCGTTCTCTACGAACTTGGTGAGTGGTGCTGACCTACAGGATGCGGGGGTTCACCAGTTTACTCTTGCGAGTCAGCGGGTGACCCAGTGCTCGGACGCTTGCACAGGCAGGCACCTGGCCACGTTTACGCGTCGGCCGGGGTCGAGCCTCTACACCCTGACCACTGAGTCTCCTCCTGTCCCTGCGTCTGGCCAGGTAGCTGCGTCGGGTCAGGTGTTTGCTGCAGCGTCCAGGTCTGGTCCTGAGTCTGCCCCCGGCTCGTGTCGCCTCCTCTCTCACAAGACTCTCCTGTGGCACCATCCTCTTGGTCACCCCTCCCTGCCTCGTCTCCGAGGCATGGCTTCCCGTGTCCTTGTCTCTGGTCTTCCCCGGTCCCTCCCTCCCCTTCCTCCGGGGCCTGGTCCTTCCTGCGTCCCCTGTGTCGAGGGGCGGCTCCGGGCTGCCCCTCACTCCTCTCAGTTTCCCCCGACAGAGGCCCCGCTGCAGACGCTTCACATGGACGTGTGGGGCCCGGCCCGCGTCCGTGGACAGGGTCACGAGCGCTACTTCCTGCTGGTGGTTGACGACTACTCGCGTTACACCACAGTCTTCCCCTTGCGCAGCAAGGACGATGTCACTGAGGTGTTGATCGACTGGATCCGCGCAGCTCGTCTCCAGCTCAGGAGGAGCTTCGGCTCGGACTTTCCTACTCTGCGTCTGCACTCTGACTGATACGGAGAGTTCTCCTCTGGCCTTCTGCGAGCCTACTGCTGTGCGCGAGGCATCCGCCAGACATTTACGCTTCCGAACTCTCCACAGCAAAATGGGATTGCTGAGCGCCGCATTGGCATGGTCATGGACGTCGCTCGTACGTCCATGATGCATGCGGCTGCCCCCCATTTTCTGTGGTCGTTTGCGGTTCGGTACGCGGCGCATCAGATCAACCTTCACCCCAGGGTCTCCATGCTGGAGACCTCCCCAGCTTTGCTGTGGACGCGGAAGGTAGGCGATGCATCTGCGTTCCGTGTCTGGGGATCTCGGGCGTTTGTCCTCGACTTATCTGCGGACAAGCTGTCCCCTCGTGCTGCCTTGTGTCTTCCTCGGCTTCCCCCCTGACGCGCCAGGGTGGCAGTTCTACCACCCCTCCTCTTGTCGTGTTCTGTCCTCCCAGGACGTCACGTTTGATGAGTCGGTCCCCTACTACCGTCTCTTCCCCTACCGCACTCCTTCCCTCCCCCCGCCTACGCTCTTCCTTGTGCCAGGTCCCCCCCCGGTAGACCCCCTCTCCCCTCAGGGTCCTGCCCCTTCAGATGTGTCCCAGGTAGACGCACTCGAGCCGGTCGAGGTTGCTGGTGACTCTGGTACTGCTGCGGGTGCTGAGCCTAGGGGTGCTGACTCTGGGGGTGTTGCGCAAGTGGGTGCTGAGCCTGGGGGTGCTGAGACTAGAGCTGAAAACAGAAGACGAGCGGGTAGACCGCCAAGAAACAGAGCCGGAGCCAAGGCTGAATGTGTAACCCTGAGACGACCGCTGGGTAGCCAGGTCATCAACCCGAGAAGCGTCTGAGTGTCCAGTGAGGACAACTGACCCCGCCCTTCAAGCACGAGCCCCATGCCCGACGTACTGCACAAGTAACGTAGTACCCTCTTCGCAGCATCTGAGTGCACCTTTTGGTGTCTACCAGGAGCCGCGTAGCGTACCAAAAGGCCAAGAGGGTATGCAAGGTCAGGACGAGTGCAGGTCATCAGGTGCATGAGGCAACCCACTAGCTCTGGATACGGGACGCTCGGCTCTACGGACTCGTCCGAAGGTGGAGCTAAGAGCGAGTGACCGGTAGCCAGAGGAATGGACTGTGGCGAGGACCAAGTGAAGCGAAGCGCTGAAGGACCTGCTGCACCATGTGTGAGTGGGTCAGGGTGATGGTGCGGCATGCTCTGTCCCGGGTGATCTACAAGACCAGACCTGTGCACGTGTATCTCTTCTTCAGCTCTGACTTAAAAAAGGGCGCAGTGCCTCATTGTCATCAGTGGCAAAAACCAAGTGCCGGGATGTAGAATGATAGCAGCGAAGGAGAAACAGCGACGGATCTGATGTCGAAGTTGCAAAGCCAAGTGCCGCAACTGTCGTCCTCAGTCTGTTGTGCCACTCACAAGGCGCATGGCGGAGACCGTAGACCGGCCGTCGAAGGCTCCACTGGGTACTAGGAGGAAACGACCCAGTGAAGCGAGGTGGGCGGCGCATCCAGATCTTCTTATGCAGGCTAACCTGTATGAAAGCAATGCTGAAGTCAAGAGAGCGAAGCTTGTAGTCACGCTGAGCTGCAACGTGCAGCAGCACACGAAGAGTGGTCATCGTCGGGGTAGGGGAGAAGGTATGGAAGAAGTCAACTCCCTTTCGCTGATTGAAGCCTCGTGCAACGTAACGAGCCTTGAAGATAGGCGGAGAACCCGGCGGCCGCTTCACCCTGAAAATCAACATGCTATTGACTATGTTCGCCCTAGGAGGGGGAACTGTGTCGACGTAAGTGTCAGTGGACTTCTAGGATGCTATCTCTGCATCCATGGCTGTCTGCCACTGAGAGGAGTACTCACCCGCGATCGCCTCAGCGTAAGAGCGCGGGGTCGGGATGTCTGGTGCATCCGGGTCTCCATCAGGGGCAAGCAGCATGGCCACGAGATGAGGTACAGTGGCTGCAAGACAGTCAAAGTGCTCCTTCCTGTCCTGAAGGATGTCCGTGCCAAGAGCACACTCACCCCCGATGGACGGAGGACAGACAGACTCAGACTCAGTAACAAGACTAGCGGCGTAGTCGAGACGACAAGCAACAGCAAAGTCAACAACCTCAACGACTAAGGCAGACGCAACAACAGACTCCAACGAAGGGCCAATGACAATAGTGGCAAAGAGACGCGTAACAGTAGGACTGGTGGCACAAACCAGATTAGACTCTGGGTTGGGTCCGCAGTAAGAGAGGACGCAGGAGGAGACGACATAGGGACACGCTCTGGAACAGAGGAAGGACGAAGTGCCATATGGTGCGTGCCGGGGACAGGAGGAGGACGCTGACGCGAAGCATGACGACCAGTGCGAACAACGCAAACAAGCAAGGCAGGAAGAGACATAGGCTCACGACGCTCTGTAAGCGAGGGAGCAGGCAGTGGGGAACCTGGCTGTAAAGGGAGACCAGTAGAAGACGGGAGGCTAAGAACCCTGCGAAGCACCAAGCCAGGTGGCGGGAGAGACGACGGTGACGGCGTAGCGAAGAACAGTCACGGCTGTGCAGTACCACCTGCACCAGCTCCTCCAGCACCAACACCTCCTGTACTAGTACCAGTAGCTCCAAAGCCTCCAGCAGCTCCAAAAAATCCAGCTCCAGCGCCTCCAACTCCAGCACCTCCAGCTCCCGGGTGACCAGCTCCAGCGCCTACAGCTCTAGTGTTCGCAGCACCACCAGCTTCGGCCGCTCCAGTACCTCCAGCTCCTGCGTCTCCAGTTGCAGTGCCTCCAGCCCCAGCAGCGCCACACCAAAGGTGGCAGTGCTGAGTGTACCACTCGCGTAGCTGCTGCGGCGAGAGAGCACCTCTAGAACCTCCAAGATGAGCACCTCCAAGACCAGCAGTGCCAGCTCCACCAACACCACCAGTATTGACAGTACCACCAGCTCCGGCAGCTCCAGTACCTCCAGTACGAGCACCCCCGGGACCAGCAGCTCCAGCACCTCCAGCAGCAGCACCACCACCACCAGCTCCAGTACCTTCAGTACGAGCACCTCCAGGACTAGCAGCTCCAGCAACTCGAGCAGTAGCACCACCACCAGCTCCAGAAACTCCACTAGCAGCACCACCTGGTACGGCAGCTCCAGCACCACCAGCGCGAGCACCCCTAGGACCAGCAGTGCAAGCACCACCTACACCTCCAGCACTAGCAGCTCCAGGGCCTCATGCTCCAGCAGCGCCACTCTGAAGGCTACAGCGCTGAGCGTACCACTCGCGCAACTACTGTGGTGAGAGAGGCTCCCGTTAGCTAGACCGCTGGGGCAAGGCACCAGTGGGACCTCCAGGACTAGTAACTCTAGCACCTCCAGTGCCTCTAGTACAAGCAGTACCTCCAACACCTCCAGGACTAGCAGCTCTAGGGCCTCCATCTCCAGCAGCGCCACTCCGAAATCTACAGTGCCGAGCGTACCATTCGCCCAACTACTGTGATGAGAGAGGCTCCGATAGTGTAGACGCACGACCCCTAGGCTCAGCACCCCCAGACTTAGCACCCCCAGGCTCTGCACGCTCAGGCTCAGCGCCCTCAGGCTCCGCACGCTTAGACGCAGCACCCCCGGGCTCCGCACTCGCAAGCTCAGCACCTTCAGGCTCCTCACGCTTGGGCTCAGCACCCCTAGGCTCCGCACGCTCAGGCTCAGCACCTCCAGGCTCCGCACGCTTAGGCTCCGCAACCGCAGGCTCAGCACCCCCGGACGCAGCACCCCGAGCAGCACCAGACTCACCAGTGACCTCGACAGGCTCAACCAAGGGGAGTGGGTCTACGTGAGACACACCTGAAGGAACAGGACCCTGAGGAGGGAGGGGGTCTAATGGGGGGGACCTGGAGCGAGGAAGAGCGGCGGGGGGGGGGGGGGGGGGGGGGGGGGGGGGGGGTAGTGCGGTAGGGGAAGAGACGGTAAAAGGGAACCAACTCATCGAATGTGACGTCCTGAGAGGGTAGGACACGGTGCGAGGTGGGGTGGTAAAACTGCCAGCCAAGCGCGTCAGGGGGGAAAGCCAAGGAAGACGCAAGGAACGGCGCACGAGGAGAGCTTGTCCGCGGAAGTATTGCAGACAAAGGGATGATAGCCCCAGACCCGGAACACCGACGCATCACCAACCTCTCCCGTCCAACGCAGTGTAGGCAAGGTCTCTAGCAAGGAGACACGGGGCCCGAGGTTGAGCTGATGCGCAACGTACCGGGCCGCAAACGACTACAGAAAATGGGGAGCAGCCGCATGGATCATGGAGGTACGAACGACCTCCATTACTAAGCCAATGCGGTGCTCAGCAACCCCATTCTGCTGCGGAGAGGGCGGAAGCGTGAAGGACTGGACGATGTCCTCCCCATGACAAAAGTCCCGCAAGAGGTCGGAGGAGAACTCACCACCTCTGTTAGAGTGCAGACACAGGATAGGAAGGTCGGTGTCGAGCCGCTCGCGGAGCTGGAGACGGACAGTGTGGATCCAAGGGATCAAGACATCAGGGACGTCACCCTTGCTGCGCAAGGGGAAGACCGTGGTGTAACGCGAGTAGTCGTCAACAACCAGCAGAAAGTATCGCTCGCGGCCCTGTCCCTGGACACGGGCTGGGCCCCACACGTCCATGTGGAGAGTCAGCAGCGGAGCAGTCGTCGGGGGAAACGAGGAGAAGTGAGGAGCGGCGCGCTGCCGCCCCTCAACATAGGGAAGGCAGAGAGGGGCAAGCGAGGGTGGGGAGTCAGAGACCTGGGAAGACCAGAGACAAGGAGGCGGGAGTGCATGGCAGGCGTGGAGGCATGGAAGGGAGGGGTGACCTAGGCGATGGTGCCAAAGGAGAGTCTAGTGCGACAGGAGGCGACACAAACAGGGGGCTGCTAGCTAGCCTGACGCGGACGCAGATACAGCTACTTGAGGAGGCTCAGTAGTCAGTGTGTACAGGCTTGACCCAGGCCGACGGGTGAACGTGGCCAGGTGACGGCCCGTCCGTGCACACGTGCAAATCGCCACACACTGTCCTCCGGGAGTAAAGGTATTAATCCATTCATCTTAAAGAACGACGTTGCTCACCAATTTCATAGAGAACGAGGGGAGGTGAAGACCTGACAGTGAGCCAGACGGAACCGCCAGACACGGGAGAACAGTGGAGGAATATGCAAGAACCAGTCCCCCAGAGGGTCAGCCAAAGAGACTACAACCGGTGCTGCGAGCCGTGTGACTGTGGTGCTGTCGCGAAAGAAGGAGCGGGAAGCACCTGAGTCAAGCGTGAAGGTGTGCAAGGCCTCAGCAGGCGCAGTACCAAAGAGAGCAGACTCACCAGCACCTAGAGCAAACTCACCAGCACCAAAAGCAAGAGCCGCTATACCAGGGTCAGGCGGCACACACAGGTAACAGTCACCCTCAGTACTAATAGTCAAAGCATACATGGCGGTGAGGATAGTGTCATAGTCTAGAGCAAAGACATCCACCTTGTTCCAAAGCAGGTCTAGCCAACGGGGGAGCTCAGCCTCGTTGCCAAACACTGCACGCCAGGCGTCGCTCAGACAGGCGAAGCAGCGAGCCTGTATGTGACCAACTGTCCCGCAAGTCTGACCAGCCCGATCACCTGTGTGAATGACGTACAGGCAGTGGACAGTACTCCAAGTCCCCCCAACCTGAGTCTACCACTCTCGAAGCTACAGGCGCCGCTGGGGTGTAAGGGTCTCGCACGGACGCCGCTGCAGCTGCATCTGGCCACCGCCAAAAAACTCCGTACTGAACAGCTCCACCGCGACTGCTACTACTGCCACCGCCACCACACCTACTGGCGCACCACTCACGAAGCTGGTGGGGCATCCCCACCAAATAGCTCCACAGCGTCTGCTACTACAGCTGCCACCACTCCCACCGCTGCCACCGCCGCCATCATCACTCCCACCGCTACTACGAAGTGAAGTCATAGCAGGCAAGCAAGGAGGTGCATGACCAGTAGGGCAGTACGGAGGGAAGACAGTAGCACGAGCAGTAGTAGTAGCAGTAAGAGCAGTAGTGCAGCTCGGTGAGGCTAGGCTACAGCACCTCCAGCACTCCTAGCAGCACCTCCACTAGCAACGGCAGTAGCACGAGCAGCAGGGCGGATCGGGTTCGGCATGGCGGCTCAGACTGAGCACCGCGGCTCAGCCTAGGCGGCACGGGCAGCAGGGCGCGCGCTGCGTAGGGCAGCAGGGCGCGATGCGCGAGCTGCAGCAGGGCCCGACGCGTAGGGCAGCAGGGCGAGACGCGCGGGACAGAAGAGTGTGACGCGCGGGCTGCCGTAGGGCGCGACGCAGGGCAGCAGGGCGCGACGTGTGGGCTGCAGCAGGGTGCGACACGCGGAGTAGTAGAGCGCAACGCGCGGGCTGCAGCAGGGCGTGACGCGCAGGGCAGGGCGTGTGCGGGGTAGCGCGATGCGGGGCAGGGCAGGGCATGCGCGGGGCAGCGCGACGCGGGGCAGGGCAGGGCATGCGCAGGGCAGCGCGACGCGCGGCAAGGCAGGGCGTGCGCGGGGGAGCGCGGCGCGGGGCAGGGCAGGGCGTGCGCGGGGCAGCGCGATGCGCGGCAGGGCAGCGCGTGCGCAGAGCAGCGCGACGTGCGGCAGGGCAGCGCGTGCGCGGAGCAACGCGACGCACGGCAGAGCAGGGCGTGCGCGGGGCAGCGCGACGCGGGGCAGGGTAGGGCGCGTACGGGGCAGGGCAGGGTGTGCGTGGGGAAGGGCAGGGCGTACATGAGCAGTGTGACGTAAGGCAGGGCAGGGCGCGCACTGACGGCGCAGTGTAGGTCAGGGCGTGGGGTAACACGGTAACCGCAATCGATTACTAGGAAATGGTGGGCCCGAAAAAAACGCTCCTATTGACCTACTGCTGTGATACCATGTCAAAAACTAACGAGCAAGAATGATTGCATTGACATCAAACTGAGTACAAGTATAACCCTAATGAAGTTGTACTCCATAGGCTACCCAACTATAGCCTACACAACATAAACATCATTATAGTTTGACAGCATGCACCAAACCGCACACATATGCTTGTATTCCACCAATTGAAGCCCCTCATTCGTGTCGAAGCGATGGTGGAGCGGCACTCGCGCAGCCGAGTGGAGTACACGGTGAAGGCGAGGGGCCAGTTCAAGGAGCGGTCGACACACACACTTTTCAACTTTCAACCATGTGTTTTATACTCCGCATGCACCGCACTCCACCACACCCCACCAGGTGAAACCGCTCATCTGGGTGGAGGTGATGGTCGAGAGGCATTCCCATAGCCGAGTGGAGTACATGGTGAAGGCGAGGAGCCAGTTCAGGGAGCGGTCCACACACAGCCTCTTTTTCTTCCAACCGTGTGTTTTATTTGCTGCATGAACCGCACTCCACCACATCACACCAGTTAAACCCCTCATCTGGGTAGAGGCGATGGTCCAGAGGCATTCCCGAAGCCGTGTGGAGCTCATGGTGAAGGCGAGGAGCTAGTTCAAGGAGCGGTTCACGCACAGACTCTTATGTCTCTCAAACCACGTATTGGCATACACTGCATGCAGGTGAAACCACTGATCTGAGTCGAAGCAATAGTGGAGCGGCACTCGCGCAGCCGAGTGGAGTACATGGTGAAAGTGAGGAGCCAGTTCAAGGAGCGGTCGACGGCGACGTCGGTGGAGATAGAGCTGCCGGTGCCCATGGACGCCATTGACCTCGCCACCCGCACCTCCATGGGCACTGCTACTTACACGCCTTAGCGCGAGGCCATTCTCTTGAAGATCAATTTGTTAGAGGTCCACTGGTGATCCCAGATTGATCCCAGATTGATCCTATGTATGTTGGCCTGGGGGGTTATGGGCGCACTGACCCGCTACTTAACAAGCCCTTTTATCCCAATGGTCTAGTGGTTGGGATTCTGACATGGTATTAGGAGCAACATAGGTCCTTAGGACCATTTTAGGACTGTTTTTCAGGGCCCACCAACCGTTTTTCGCCGGTTACTGAGTTACCCCGCCCCTTGCCTACACTACCTTGCGTCGCGCAGCCCTCGCGCTCGCCTCTACTGGCCCTCGTACAGCCCGCTAGCAGCCCGCCTGCTGCCTCGTCAGCCCCGCGCGTAGCCGGCTAGCTGCCTTGTCAGGCACGCACACCGCCCCGCAGCCCCCGCGCTGCCTTCTCCTGCCCCGCGCGTCGCTTTGCAGCCCTCGCGCTGCTTTCTACGGCCGCCGACGCAGCCCAGCACTGCCGTTGTCGCGGCCCCACCCTGCCGCCGAGGCGGCCTCGCCTGGCCTGCGCGCTGCCCCCCGTCGCTCGTCGCAGTGCCTGTCGGACCCGCGCGCTGCCCTGCACCAGCTACGCCGCCCCTGGTGCAGCCGCCCCTGGACCCTCGAGCAGCCGCCCCTGGACCCAGAGCAGCCGCCCCTGGCCCCTGCAGCAGCTGCCCTTGAACCCCGAGCAGTCGCCCTGGCCCCTGAAGCAGCCGCCCTTGGTGCAGCCGCCCCTGGACCCTCGAGTAGCCGCCCCTGGACCCAGAGCAGCCGCCCCTGGCCCCTGAAGCAGCCGCCCCTGGTGCAGCCGCCCCTGGACCCTCGAGCAGCCGCCCCTGGACCCAGAGCAGCCGCCCCTGGCCCCTGAAGCAGCCGCCCCTGGTGCAGCCGCCCCCAGACCTTCGAGCAGCTGCCCGTGGACCCAGAGCAGCCGCCCCTGGCCCCTGCAGCAGCCGCCCCTGGTGCAGCCGCCCGTGGACCCAGAGCAGCTGCCCTTGGCCCGTGAAGCAGCCGCCTCTAGTGCAGCCGCCCCTGGACTCCGCGTAGCCGCCCCTGGACCCCGCGACGCCGCCCCTGGACCCGCGACGCCGCCCCTAGACCACGTGCAGCCGCCCGCCGAGTGTCGGCCCCGCTCGCCCGGCGAGCGCCTGCTCTTCCCGCCACTGGTGAGCACTTGCCTTGTTAGCGCGCTGCCGCGCCATCTGCCTCCCTGCCAGCCTGCCTGCCTGTCTGCGTGCCTGCCTGTATGCGTGCCTGCCTGCCGCGCCTACCCTGCTCGCGCTGCTACTGCTGCTACTTTTGTTACTACTGCTTGGCTACTGCTACTGCTACTGCTGCTACTGGCGGTGGTCAGATGCAGCTCCAGCGACGTCCCGCGCGAGTCTCTCACGCCCCAGCAGCTTCGTGAGTGGTACGCTAGTTGGGGTTGTGGCGGTAGCCGTCGTAGCTGTCGTCCTGGAGCTGGTCAGTTGGGAGCATCTCGTAGTGGCCAACTGCAGCTGCAGCGGCGTCCACGCGAGACACTTACGTCCCAGTAGGTTCACGAGTGGTACGCTCAGAGTAGAGGGTCTTTGAGTACCGTTTGCTGCCTGTACGTCATTCGCACAGGTGATCGGACGGGTCAGACTTGTGAGACGCTTAGTCACACCCAGTCCCGCTGCTTCGCCCATCTTAGCGACACGTGGCGTATCGGGTTTGGCGACGAGGCTGAGCTCCCCGACTGGGTGGAGCTGCTTGGGCAGAGGGTAGATATATTTGCTCTTGACTATGTTATTCTCACTGCCATGTATGCATTGCCTACTAGTGGTGACCGTGCCTGTTACCTGTGCGTACCGCCTGACCCAGGTATAGAGCCTGCTGCTCTCGATGCTGGTGAGGCTGCTGCTCTAGGTGCTAGTGCGTCTCCTGCTCTGGGTACTGGTGAGGCTGCTGCTCCAGGTGCTGGTGAGTCTGCTCTCTCTAGTACTGCGCTTGCTGAAGCCTTATACACCTTCACACTTGACTCAGGTGCTTCCCGCTCCTTTTTCGCGATAGCACCACCCTCACGCCGCTCAGCCGGCCAAGTCCAGTATCCCTGGCAGACCCCTCTGGGGGTCCAGTCCTTGCGCACTCCTCCACGGTCTTGCCGTGTCCGGCGGTCCCGTCTGGCTCCCTCACACTGACTACTGTGTCCCCTCAGGTCGCTGCTTCCGCGTCTGCGTCAGGTCAGCTAGCGGCCCCCTGCTTGTGTCACGCTTTGTCGCACCAGACCCTCCTTTAGCACCACCGCCTTGGTCACCCCTCGGTGCAGCGCCTTCATAGCATGCACCGCCGTGTCCTTGTCTCTGGTCTTCCCAGGGTTCTCCCTCCCCTCCCACCCTCGCCTGCTCCTCCCTGTCTTCCCTGTGTCGAGGGGCGGCAGCGCGCCGCTCCTCACTCCTCCTCGTTCCCTCCCACAGAGGCTCCCCTGCAGACTCTCCACCTGGACGTGTGGGGCCGAGCCCGCGTCCGTGGACAGGGCCACGAGCGGTACTTCTTGCTGGTCGTTAACGACTACACGCGTTACACCACAGTCTTCCCCTTGCGCACCAAGGGTGAGGTCCCTGATGTTTTGATCCCTTGGATCCGCGCTGCTTGTCTCCAGCTCCGCGAGCGGTTCGGGACGGGGTTTCCCGTCCTGCGTCTGCACTATGACAGAGGTGGAGAGTTTTCCTCCGACCTCTAGGCAGCCTTCTGTGCAGAGCATGGCATCTGCCAGACGTTCACGCATCTGGCCTCTCCGCAGCAGAATGGGGTTGCTGAGCATCGCATTGGCTTAGTCATGGAGGTTGCTCGTACCTCCATGATCCATGTGGCTGCCCCCCATTTTATGTGGCTGTTTGCGGTCCGGTACGCCGCGCATCAGCTCAACCTCTAGCCCCGTGTCTCCTTGTCGGAGACCTCGCCCACACTGTTGTGGACGGGGAAGGTTGGCGATGCGTCGCGTTTCCGGGTCTGGGGTTCTCGTGCCTTTGTCCGCGATACCACCGCCGAGAAGCTCTCCGCCCGCGTTGTTCCCTGTGTCTTCCTTGGCTTTGTCCCTGACACGCCTGGTTGGCAGTTTTACCACCCCACCTCGCGCCGTGTCTTCCCCTCTCAGAACGTCACGTTCGACGAGTCGGTTCTCTTTTACCGTCTCTTCCCCTACCGCACTGCACCTCTCCCCCCCTCCGCCGCTCTTCCTCGCTCCAGGTGCTCCCCAGGTAGACCCCCTCCCCGCTCCCGGTCCTGCTCCCTTGACTGCACCGGTTGAGGTCACTGATGACTCAGGTCCTGCTGAGGGTGGTCCTGCTCGAGGTGCTGAGCGTGGGGGTGCTGAGCCTGGGGGTGCGGAGCCTGGAGGTGCGGAGCCTGGGGGTGCTGAGCCTGGGGGTACTGAGTCTGGGGGTTGCTGCACCTGGAGGCGTTGAGGCGTCTGGTGAGCAGTCTCCCTCGAGCGGCCGTCTCCGTAGTCGCTCCGCTGGTACCTCGCCGCTGCACTCTCCTCGTTGACTCCCTCTCTCCCCACAGCAGCTGCGTGAGTGGTACGTTGGCCGTCAGGGTCGCACTACTAGAGCTAGGGGCCCTGCTGCGGGAGGCGCTGGAGCTGGTGACTCTGCTACTAGAGTTGTTTCTGCTGGAGGTTCTGGAGCTGCTGAGGGTGTTGGAGCTGCTGAGGGTGCTGGAGCTAGAGGTTCTGGAGCTGGTGGAGGTGCTGGCGCAGGTGGCGCTGGAACTGGAGTTTCTGGAGCTGATGAGGGTGCTGGCGCAAGAGGTTCTGGAGCTGCTGCAGGTGCTGGCTCTGAGGGTTCTAAGTCTTCTGTTGCGCGGTCTCCTTGGAGTAGCCGCCTTCGTCTGCGTGTGCCTCTCACCTCACAGTAGCTGCACGACTGGTACGGTCGCCGTCAGGGTCGCGCTTCTAGAGCTCGGGGCTCTGCCGCTGAAGGTACTTCTGCTGACGTCACTGGAGCTGGGAGTGGTGCTGGTCCCGGAGGTGCTCGTACTGGAGGTACTGGAGCTTTTGGGGCTGGGGGTGCTGAGCCTGAGGGTGCTACTGCTGGAGACATTGAGGCTGGAGACCCTGGGACTGGAGGTGCCGGTTCTGGGGGTGTTGCTACTGGTGGAGCTGGTCCTGGAGGAGCTGGAGCTGAGGGTTTTGGAGCTGCTGGAGGTGCTGGGGCTACAGGGGGTGTTGGAGCTGCTGGTGCTGGTAGCACTGCACAGCCGCGCCTGTTCTTTGCTCCACCGTCTCCGTCGTCTCAGCCACCGTCTCCCTTCGTCTACTGGTCTTCCGTTACAGCCTAACTCACCGCTGCCTGCTCCTTCTCCTTACACTGAGCAGACACGGGGTCTTACTGAGCGTCGTGAGCTTGCGTCGCGTCCTGTCTCGCCTGTCCATTCTGGTCGTTCTGGTCGTCGTGTTCCTCGTTCGCGTCAGCCGGCTGTCCCCGGCACCCACCTTGTAGTCCGTCGTCCTGCCTCTCCTCCGCAGCGTGTTCCTCTGCCATCCCCTCCTGCGTCCTCTCTGCCTACTGTTCCTGAGCCTGAGTCTGACCGCGCTCGTGCTGCTCACCCTACTATCACGCGTCTGCTAGCCACAGTTGTCACTGACCCGTCGTTTGAGTCTACTGCTGCGTCTGCCTTAGTCGCTGAGCTTGTTGACTTTGATGCTGCCTCTCGTCTAGACTACGCCGCTAGTCTTGTTGCTGAGTCTGACTCTCTCTGTCCTCCGTCCGTCGAGGGTGAGTGTGCTCTTGGCACGAACGTCCTTGAGGATAGGCATGAGGACCTTGAGTGTCTTGCAGCCGCTGCGCCTCATCTCGTGTCCATGCTGCTTGCCCCTGAGGGAAACCCGGATGCTCCAGACATCCCGACCGCGCGCTCTTACGCTGAGGCGATCGCGGGTGAGTACTCCTCTGAGTGGCAGTCAGCCATGGACGCAGAGATGGCATCCTGGAATTCCACAGGCACTTCTGTTGATGACGTTCCCCCTCCTCGGGCGAACATTGTCGATGGCATGTGGATTTTCAGGGTGAAGCGGCCGCCAGCTTCTCCGTCTGTCTTCACGCCTCGTTACGTTGCTCGAGTTTTCAGTCAGCTAGAGGGAGTTGACTTCTTCCAGACCTTCTCCCCCACCCCGAAGATGACCACTCTTTGGGTGCTGGTGCACGTTGCCGCTCAGCGTGACTACGAGCTTCACTCTCTTGACTTCAGCACAGCTTTCTTGCAGGGCAGCCTGCACAAGGAGATCTGGCTGCGCCGCCCGCCTGGCTTCACTAGGTCGTTCCCTTCTGGTACCTAGTGGAGCCTCCTGCGGCCGGTCTACGGTCTTCGACAGGCGCCACATGAGTGGCACGACACACTGAAGACGACACTCGCGGCTCTTGGGTTTGCTCCGTCGACTGCTGACCCGTCGCTGTTTCTGCGCACCGACACTTCGCTGCCGCCGTTCTACATCCTCGTGGACGTCGACGACTTGATCTTTGCCACTGCTGATACTGAGGCTCTCGCCCTGGTGAAGTCAGAGCTGCAGAAGAGACACACGTGCACAAACCTGGGTGAGCTGCGCGGTTACCTTGGCTTGAAAATCACCCGGGACCGAGCACGCCGCACCATCACCCTGACTCAGTCACACATGGTGCAGCAGGTCCTTCAGCGCTTCGACTTCACATGGTTCTCGGCACAGGCCACTCCTCTGGCTACAGGTCACTCGCTCTCAGCTCCACCTTCGGACGAGTCCGTAGAGTCAAGTGGTCCTTACCCAGAGCTAGTTGGCTGCCTCATGTACCTGATGACCTGCACTCGTCCTGACCTCGCGTACCCTCTTGGCCTTCTGGCTCACTACGTGGCTCCTGGTCAGTACCCAAAGGTGCACATGGATGCTGCTAAGAGGGTACTGCGCTACTTGTGCAGTACATTGGGCATGGGGCTCGTGCTTGGAGGACGGGGCGACGTTGTCCTCACTGGTCACTCGGACGCTTCTTGGGTTGACGACCTGGCTACGAAGCGGTCGTCTCAGGGTTACACCTTCAGCCTTGGCTCTGGTTCGGTTTCTTGGCGTTCTACACGCTCGTCTTCAGTTCTCAGCTCCAGTTGTGAGGCTGAGATCTACGCCACAGCCATGGCTGCACAGGAGTTACGCTGGCTCACTTACCTGCTGACCGACTTGGGAGAGCGGCCTCGTTCTCCTCTTGTGCTATACGTCGACAACAAGGCCGCCATTGCCTTGTGTGAGGAGCACAGACTGGAGCACAGAACAAAGCACATCGCTCTGCGTTACTTCTTGGCTCGAGAGTTGCAACAGCGTGGTCAGCTTCGTCTTGCACACGTGGCCACTCGAGCCAACACTGCTGATATATTCACCAAGGCACTTCCGTCTGGCGATCATCAGCGTTTCTGCATTTTGTTAGGCCTTGTGCCCACTTTTCCTCATTTGCTGTAGACTTTGCTTGTACTATGATATATATATATATATATGTGTATATAAATATATATATACCTGCATGCTTGCTCTGCTAAGTAGAGATCACTGTACTGTTGTTGTTGCATATATACCTCTGCATGTGAACTGGTCTCTTGGCCCTTTGCTTGTGCTCAGTGTGTGTGGTGACGTTGTGATCCACCCTAAGCTTGCTTTGCTTCTCTTGACTGGTCTTGTGACCCCTTACTCTCCCCCACTTTGCTTATGGGGGTGTGTCAAGTTATATGCCTATGTCATAATAGAATGTAGGCTTTAGTGGGGTAGCTAATGTAGGGTATACTTTTTTGTTACTTGTACCCAACTTTCTCGATCGTGCACACACCTTTTCCCTTTACTCTCGACATGGTATCAGAGCGAAGGTGTCGGGTTCGAATCCCGGTGTATGCACTGCGGGCATCCCAGTGCGGGGGGGGGTCAAAGGTCCACTGGTGATCTCCGATTGTTCCTAGGGAAGGGTTACAGGCACGTTGGCCTGGGGGGTTATGGGCGCCCTGACCCACTACTTAACAAGCCCTTTTATCCCAATGGTCTAGTGGTTGGGATTCTGACACAAATCGTTCCCTAGAGGAAAGTTGGGTGTTGCCTTCCTTGTTTATCTCATACCCATCACGAGTACCTGCTGCGAGTGCCTTTGAGCCTGCCCAGTGTGGCAGTTGAGGATGAGTACAAAGATGTCCTCAAAGCCTGCTCCCCCGTGTAATGAATCCCTTGCACACCCTTGTGTGTGATCACATCTATGGCTTCATCATTCTACATTTAACCCCACCTCAAGAGTACCTGCTGCGAGCCTGTATCAGCCTTCCCAGCGTGGTAGCAGAGGATGGGATTATTGGTGTCCCCAAACTATGCACTCACATGTTTCCAAATCCTTGCATACCTATGTTATCCCACTTTGCGCTTCACCGTTTACGTTGAACCCTCTTCATGAGTACCTGCTGCAAGCACGTTTCAGCCTGCCCAGTGTGGCAGCAGTGGATGACGTGGCAGAGAAGAAAGCTCCAATCCACGTGAAATTCGAGATACCCTACTTCACAGTCTCTGGCATTCAGGTGAGAAGCAAGTGTCAAGATAGTAGGCACAAACTTGAAACAGAAAGAGGGCCTTTGATTAGCAAGCAATGGGATACATATAGCAAACCCTAGTTGGGTTGTACTCACTATAGAGTACCCCACTGCATACTAGACAAATAACACATTTTGAGAGACCCCCATAGGCAAAGTGGGGTATGTTTAGCACAACAAGCAGTCGCATAAAAAGTTCACAAGCACAAGCAAAACTAGAGGCAGTCACAGAGGGCAAGTGAGGAGGAGGAGGGACTGTGAGAGGAGTGGAGATAGGAGGCGACTGGTGAAGCCGCAGACACTCGGGCAACAGGAGCGGCGAGCACGGGCTACCGGACACAAGCAAGGGTATCCGGACTACTGGAGTCACTGGCTCCGCGGCTAAGATGAGCGGCTGGAGCAACGGACCCACGGGCGACTAGCGCAGCAGGCTCGCTGGGCTACCGGGGCAAGGGTGACCCCCAGACTACCGGCGCTGCTGACGTCACGACGGCTACCTCCGTTCAACCTCCCCCAACTGTCCCACACCCCTTTCACGCACCCCTTGCTGCACCCCTAGCTCCACTCCCACGACACCCCCCTAGCGCCACTCCCTCGGCTCCCACACACCCACCCCCCTCAACGGCAGCTGCAGTAGTGGGAGACGGAGGAGGAGGAGGAGCAAGGGACGGCTCACACACCCACCACCCCTATACCCGCCACCCCCATACCCTCCACCCCACGGCTGCACGCGCAGAAGGGAGAGGAAGGAGAAGGGGAGGCGGAGGGGGGGGGGAGGGAGAGGGCGGGAAAGAAGCTGCCCCGCGGCGCACGAGGGCAAGGGACGGCGCGCGGGTCCATAGGGCAGCGCACGTGGGTTCACAGAGCAGCGCGCGCGGGTCCCTTGGGGCGACGCGCGGATCAACGGAGCAGCGCGCGCGGGTCCCACGGGGTGGCGCGCGGGTCGACGGAGCAACGCCCGCGGGTCCCTTGTGGCGACTCGCGGATCGACGGGGGCAGCGCGCGGTTCGACGGGGGCAGCGCGCCGAGCAGAAAACCGCCGCGCGCCCTATTGCGCGCGACAAGCAGGAAATGGTCACGCGCCCAGGGCGCGCGACTGAGAGAACAGCAGTGGAAGCTAACGGTGGACCCATCCACAGGATCGACCAGAGAGGGTCGACCTGCTCTGACAGCATGTCAAGATAGTAGGCACAAAGTTGAAACAGAAAGAGGGCCTTTCACTAGCAAGCAACGGGATACATATAGCAAACCCTTATAGGGCTGTACTCACTATAGAGTACCCCACAGTAGACTAGACAGCTAACACATTTTGACAGCAAGGGTGTCTGTCAGGTGTTCACGTGAATCAGCAGCTCGTGCTAACTGTAATGTCACCTGTTATGTTGCCTGGGGGTTTGGTTACTTCATCAGAACCTTTGGCATTCAGGTTAGCATAGTAGGGCCAAGTGTTCAAGTGTGATGGGAAGGGCTAGCATGTCAGTGAGGTGTGAATTGGAGGCACTGGGCTAGGCTTTGAATGGAAAAAAGGAGCCTCTCTGCCAGAGGAATCATAATTGTCAAACACTTGGTGGATTATTTCAATGTCTCTTCCTACCTCCCAATCAGAATCTTTTTCTCATGCTCATCTCGTTCTCTGTCATCGCAACCTATCCCCTTTATATTGTGAAACTTTGTGCATCCATCCAGGTGCATTGTCTCAAGATCATTGAGAAGAGCGGTTACCAAGAATTGCCGTGGGTGTGGTACATCACAATGGCTGGACTATGAGCTGCGCATGATGTGAAGTGAAACAAGGCTGCCTGAATCTTAGCGGTATCATCCCATCCAGCACAGTTACTGTATCCTGTGGACCCCAGTAGCAGAGGTTTCTTTTTTTCTGACGCATGTACAACCAATCATTTGAATGTTGACCAAACGACCAATCTTGGATTGTACAATACAAAAAACCACAATTGTAGGGTGAGGCAGGCGTTTGTCTGAAAGTTCATCTGGGGTTTGACTCAACA